GGTGAGTTACAATATTTCTACATGTTAAACAAGATACAGTTTACTAACAATAGGAATTAGACCATTTATTCTCAAATAATGCCACTGACGGACAGAAATATAAGGGCTTCCTGGTGTTCCAAAAGTATTTGACCAGTCTGGTGGACTATCCTTCCTACTTAGAATCACTTTTCACCAAAAACCTTATGACATGTCTCCTCAATCAAGCTGCCAATAAGGATAGATACCTTCACCGCGCGGCAATCAAGACTTTGAAGGTCCTAGAGAATACAGTCTCAGAACACCCCAGCACCTTGGTACCTATTCTCAAGAATCTCATCAGTGAAAATGGTGTTTACAATTTCGACCAACGAACCAACACGAAAACTGTGGCCAAATTGCTTCAGAGCGTCAACGAACAAAATGGTGCGGCATGCCTCGAGATTATCAAAATCCCAATTGCCAATTTAGGCCAAGAGGAGAGTCAAAAAGCTCGGGTTTTCTTGGACACCTACCTGGACTACCTATCAAAAGTCCTAGTCGCAACGGGGACTTCCACATCTGAAAATACTTCTTCAGAGACAACGCTCGCATCCGGCGCTGCTCTTCAAGAGTTATCCGCTCTAGCATATTCCCAACCAAAGCACATTCCACAAAGTCTGTTAACCGACAAAGTCAAGGAGCTGTGCAGATCTCGCTTAGAGTCATCCTTGGCCAAACTTATTCGCCAGGGAAATAACCACACTATCCTCTGCAATGCCGTTTTATCCATGGATGCTGATCTCGTTACCATGGAAGACGAAATTGCGACAGCCATGAAAGAGGCCCGATCTCGTCTCCAAAAACTTCTTAAGCGGACTTCCAAGTCCAGCGTTGAGAAATCGCTGACGCACGGCTTGGCACTGCTTCATGCAGTCTCTTTGTTCCAACTGTATAATGAAGACCCGGATGCCATGGAAGTATTGCAGGACCTCGCACAGTTCTCGGACCGATTAAAGAAGGGCAAACTTGAGAACGACGAGGGCAGCTCAGAGCTTCTTATTGAGATTCTCTTGTCAATGGTGGCTCGCCCCTCCTCGCTCATGCGGGAAGTCTCCCAGCAGGTGTTTGACACTTTCACTAGTCAGGTATCGGCGGAGGGACTGGAGCTTCTTACTAGCCCTCTAGCATCCGATGAGAGCGCCAAGGGCCAGCAGGAACTCTTCAATATTGAGGATGATCAGATGGACGTTGACGAGGAGGGTGAAAATTCTGAAGACGAGGATGAGGACGATGAGGACGAAGATGAGGAAGAGGAAGAGGACGACGACGATGACGACGATGATGAAGATGAGGATGAGGAGGATGAGGATGAGGATGACCAAGAGGGCAAAAAGGATGATCCGGTGGATCTTGATGAGCTCATTGGCAATATTCTCAACAGCCACCGCTTGGACAAGGATGCAGAGGCTGAATCATCCGAGGACGACGGCGACATGTCTGATTCGGAAATGCTCGCCCTCGACGAAAAGCTGGCCGAGGTGATCCGGCCACATGTCAAGCGTGCCAAAGACTCGAAGAAGCAAAAGAAGGATGCGAAGCAATCGGTCGTCAACTTCAAGCACCGCATCTTGGACTTGCTAAAAATCTACATCAAGAACGAAGTCCTCAACCCACTCGCATTCTCCCTGCTGGTACCCCTCCTCAACCTCGTACGCACGACGAGCACAAAGCCCTTGGCCAGCAGGGCCCACGAAATCATCCTCGACTACCGGAAAGGCCTCAAAAAGGCTCTGGGTAACAAGCAGGAGTTTGACGGCCTGTCTACGGACGACCTGCTCGGCGTCCTGATCCAGGTCCATGAAGAAGCCGGCAACGACAACTCGAATTCACATGCTTATGCGAAGGCTGCCAGTGCTGCCAGTCTCATCGTCGTATCGGCGATGCTGTCCATTGACAGAGACTCGTGGGAGCAGGCAGGTGCCGTCTATTTAAAAACCGAGGCAAAGCGTTTCCATGGAAAGATTACACTGCAGCGTTCCTTCTTCGACGAGTGGAGCAATTGGTCCCGGACCCTATACTCATAGTCACAAACATACATGGCAATACTGTAGATAATGTTCAGAAAAACCAGGTGTTTGTTTTATTATTTGCCTGGTCTAGCAATAGCTTGTCCAATCATAGACCTGGAGGGAGGAAAAGTAGAATCTTACATGAAGGAGTAGAATCTAATACCGTACTCGATAATAGCTGGCTAATGCCATGCTGGGGATCAGGGAAAATAAAAGTATACGTCTTTCACAGAAGTCTTTTCAATTAATTCTACGGCTCCAGCCGACAAGAAATTTCAAGTTTATTCCTCCATCTTGTCACCGTCCTTCGTCTCATCCTCGTCATCATCATCGCTATCGTCAGATTCATCCTCGGCCTTTGCTAATCTCTCAGCCTCCTCCCTCAACTCCTTGGGTACCTCCACATGTCGTCCCTTGGTGGGACCATCGATCCCGCTAATCCATGTCATCTCCAGCTCGAAATCCTTGTCTTTGTTGTCCTTGTGTGCGTGGTGGATGATTCGTGCTGCCTCCTTGACAGCCTGCTCCAGCGAAAGCGTGCCAGCAGCCAGGTCGAGCTTCTCCAGCTCGGCCTTGGCAGCTTGCCGACCCTTGCCGGTGGCGGCGCCGTAGTAGCCCCAGTACTGCCCGCTGGGCTCAATCATGTAGAGGAAGGGACCGCCGTGCTTTCCGGGAACTTTTCCACCGGCACCGCATGAGGGGCCTGAGCCTACTTCTCCATCCACGGGTGTCTCCTCCGATGTGTCGTAGCCTCCTACGATGGCGGTGATACCAAAGGGACGGACAGAGCCGTACATGGTGTATGCTTGCAGGTAGCCACCCATGCGGGAGACGAGGTCGGCTGTCGGTGAGGGGGTCTTGAAGTTGTCGCGCCAGGATGAAGCCTCGTCACGGGCCCGGTCGACGAAGTGACGGCCATCGGGGACCATCCCGGAGTATGCCTGTCAGTTGGAACAATGTAAGCTTCCTTGAATGCAAAATTCACATGTTCCAGGGGTGGGGGGGCGCTTCATACCACTCCGATGTGTGAGTCGACAGTTGCGATCCGCTTGTTTGCTCCGGGCTTCAACAGCTTTGACGTTATCACCTTCTCCACCGCAAGGACGACACCGTCCTTGGCCCGGATACCAATAGAGGTCCCGCCGTTCTCTACTGCCTTTACGGCATACTCGACTTGGAAATTACGGCCATCTGGTGAGAAGATGGAGTTGAGAAGGTCGTAACCTGTACCTATGGACGTCTGTGCGAGAGAGGGATGAGGTCAGTACCCAGCTTCAGATATCGATTACAGATGCACCTTCAGTATGGTGGGGGGAAAACTCACCATCTTGCCTCTGTGATGTGAAAAATTGGTAGGTTTTCGAGGCTGATGTTTGCGGGACTGCGGGGGGTTGTTGGAGGAGGGAGAGAGCTCTTGTTCGATCCGGGCGTTGCTTGGATCGCTAACCTAGATGGAGCTTCACCAGGCAGCCTGAGCTGCGTGTTGCGTCGTTGAGAGCCAGCCAGGGCTGGAAGCGGAGCTGCCTGAGGCGGAAAGCGTCAAGCCACATGTGGCTGGTGGCTCCTCCCCTGTCTGCCGTGCCGTCGGGTGGCTGATAGGTTTAGGTTAGTCTACTACCCCGCGATGGCTCGTGGCAAGCTTCCATTCTTCGAGCAGTTTCGGTAGCTTAACCTAGAGTGTCCATTCATGCAGCACAACATCGTCAGTATCACTCCGCTGGTTGTTGCCAGATAGCGCCAGGACATTTTCTACATACAAATATATTTTAATCTGGGATGACGGTGTAGATTCATCCCCATCCGTCCCGCGGAACACTCGGGTGCTAAGTGTATGACACCTTCAACCCGAACATCACTTCACAACAAGCACTTCCCAGGAAGTTGAACAATGCATGTAGGGATAAAATGGAGTACATTACAGCGCATGTCTTAGTCTACGAGGAATGCTAAAATCAATAAATACATAACTCTCACAGATGATGCTTATATTGGTCTTAATTAATTGATCATGACTACGCCACAGCCAATGACTACCTAGAGAGAAGCCTAATCTCTGCTGCCGGGCGTGACTCTTGGCAGGTCACGTTGAACAGCTGCGTCATGGGATTGGGGTCTTGGATTTTACCCCTCCATCCCTCCCATCAAATCCATGGCATGACCCCTTTTGCCCCTTTCAATCTCCATCCAGGCTGCCACTCACTACCCCTCCTACCCATTTATAATCTACAACCACCAACTTCTCGGGACTCATTCTCACGTCTTCACACAAAGAAAACCGTCCAACGCATCCGTGAAAAACTGAACTATATCGCTATTGAATCACCCACCGCCCCCTCTCGCCTCCTTCTGTCCATTCCGCGCCTTTCCAGTGAAGACCAGCCCGGCCTAATAGTGTGTTCCAGCCCCAGTCTTGGGACCCAACGCAACCCAACAAGTCTGCCCACCCCCGTGAAATTCACGCTTGACGTGGTTCATTACCAGACCGCCAGGCGGCCGTGTTTCCTCTTGCTCCTTTTATTTACTTATTTATTCTTTGGTTCCTTCTCTCTTCTCATCCTACTTCTACGGTATCCTGCTTGATACGATTTGTTTTCCTTTGCTGTGTCCTTTCTTCTGCTTGACAGTTCTTAGTGTAGTCGAAGAAATAGAACCACCCATTGCCACTCTTGCAATCGAGGCAAAGGAACCGTTTCCGCATGCGCATTATTTGCTTGCTGTTTGTCTCGTCCATCCGAAACCCTTCAGGAAAACGTCTCCTTTGCAGAGAATAAAGACATCCTTGTTCTTTGTTTCCTCCACACTCCCCGGGGAAATATACTAGAAACCCCCTCTCCTCCCTCCTCTCCTCATAGCTTTTCACAGCAGGAACTTGCAATATCTGAGCTTCACGTCGAGGTACCCGCAGTATATCTTCATTTGAGGAGCCAGCACTGACAGCTTTACTACTCCAGACCTCCTATAATCAACACCATGGCCTACCAGTCAAACATGCAGGCTCAGGATGAGCTTGCAGCTCTCCTCTCCCGTACCATCTTCTTCAACCCGGAGATTCAAGCACAAGTACCAGCACCAGAACCGGAACAGGCTGTTGTCTATTCTGCCTCGCAGCACTACAACCACTCCAGTCACATCACAAGGCCCGCAGAGTCTTCAAACCGAGAGGACATCCCGAGGTCGGCATCTGTACCACCCCACGGCGACAATGCAGCCGCCGAGCACATTCTCCGCATCCACGGCATCGACCCTCAGACCCTGACACCCTCTCAACTTCAGCTCTTCAAGGTGGCCGATGCCCCCCAGCAGAGGAGGTTGCTCGAGCTCTGGAGTATCTGCCCACCAAAGAACGGCGGGGACATCCCATCTTTGGCCTGGAGCAGTACGACTCTGGAGCACGAGGAGCAGCTTGCCCGAGTCCGTTACGAGTCTCAGCAGCAAGAGGAGGCCGCCCGGAATGCACCCGTCCAGGCCCAGAACGGGCAGTGGCACCAGCAGGAGAGCGCTGACTCGGAGCCATACATGCTCTCTGGCTACGAGGAACTCATGCGGCGCGAGAGGGAGCGAGAGCAGGAGCGACAGTCCTCACGAAATGCCTACGGCTGCTTTGCCACGGCCCAGGCTATGAGTGGGCCGACTTACTCCCAGGCAATGGACCCTGTTTACCAAGGCCCCGACTACATCCGAGAGCAGCAGCAAATGGAAATGGCCACGCAATATGGGGCGTTTCAGCAGTTTGGTGTCGTTGGCCAGGGTGATGGTATGGATTTCTAAAGAAAGGGGAGACGGCATGATTATTCATCCATCGTTCTGTTTTTCTTTTTATGTGTTATGCGAAACTTGATATAGATTTGAAACCCCATAGTCTGGCGAGAGATGACATTCGCTTTTGCAGAGCTGCAAAACCATACATATATACATTTGCATTAGTTTGTTGGTCTAGTTGTTTGGAGGTTGAGGGCAAGGAGGCAATATTCATGAGGGTCAAATCTTCTCTATGTTGGAGTCTAGGGTTCTTGGTTCATGTAATCCCCTTGGGTTAATTGGCTTGCATCATGTCTCCCTTCCCTCTTTCTGTGAGAGTGCCAGTGGGCTGACGAAACTCAGAAATGCTTTGAAGACGAGCAAGCTACATCTATCTAGTTTAATCAAGGTACGACTCCCCTCCAAAGCAAACCTCCTCTTCCCGCAGTCATCTCGGTGGGCAGCAGATGAATGCTGCTCTTTTATGCTGCTAATACCGCACTTCCCCGCCTGTAAAGACATCCCAATGAACAATCCATAAGTTTTTGGATAAACCAATGAATATATCTTTATGTGTATATGCGCTATATGAAGGGTGGGCTGCCATTTTATGTAGAAGCAGGGTACAAGCCAACCACATATCTCATCCAATTCAGCACCTGTATTCTAGGGGGTATAAAATTCCACTGAGAGCTCCCATTCTATGTATCATGTTTTTCATCTATCTACGTGTCTAAATTGAGGTCTTCTCAAGTTGCTTGGTCAAGGTGTCAACACTTCCATCCGTATGCTTGACAGTAGGTGCCTCCTGAGCCTCGGCGGCAGCCTTGGTAAGCTTCTCAACTCTGTCCTCGGCCGAGATGTCTTCCTCTTCCTCCTCCTCCTCGTCGCTATCCTCTCCTTCCAGGTCGCTCAAGCTGTCCACACCCCAGTCGTCCTCGATGACGATATCGCCAGCGAACTTCTCCTTTCGCTCCTCCAGTAGCTCCTGAAGAGCAACGACCGACTCGTGGTCCTCCTCGAACTTGTTTCCGGTGATCTCGATGCGCTTCAGCGCGGGGAGGGAGTCTTTCACGGCAGTGGCCAGCTCCTTAAGACCGGCAGCGGTGATCTCGTTAAAAGACAAGCGAAGAGTCTCCAACTTCTGGTTCTTCCCCTTTGACAAGGCCCCGGCTAGCAACAAGCTACCCTTTCCACGGAGGAGAGCATCGCCGATAGCGAGCTCCTTGATGGAAGTCCATTCCGGCACGACGTTAGCTAGGGCTGTGGCACCGACAAATGTGAAGGTGTTGTCCTGGAGATCAAGAACTTCCAGCTCGCTTGCCTTGGCAAGACCTTCCCTGATGAGCTGAGCGATACCCTCTGGCCTGATGCCGTTCTGGATCATCTTGATGGTCTTGATCTTGTTGTGGAGGCCATAAGTCTTAGCCCAGGCGATCATACTTCCATTCTCCAACCGGTTGCGACCGCAAATAACAGTCTCAAGGTTGGGAACCTCCTTACCCTCCTTCCTCGCGGCTTCCTTCTTTGCGTGAAGTTCTGACAAGGCGTCAGCAACTAGGATACCGGCGTGGGGACCAAGTCCATTGTTGTTGAGGTAGAGATGCTGCAGAGGAACGTGTGACGAGAGGAAGGTGATGAGGGGAGCCACAGTGTTGAGGCCGAAAGCGTTGTCGTTCAGATTGATCGTCACGAGGTTGGGAAGGTTGAGGATCGAATTCAGTAGCAGAGTGAGAGCTTCAGGGATCTCGCTCAGGAGACGGCCGGTAAAGATATCAGCGAAGTTGGCGTTCTAAATCAAGTTTTGGGTTAGTCGTTTTCTTTGTGACAGTAAGGATACTAAACAGAACCATGAGTCTTCGCGCTTTCCATCATCATACCTTTAGAGTTTTCTTGGTAGCCAGGACCTCGCCCAGAAGCTTGCAAGCTCCGACGCCGAGTGTGTTACCAAGGAGCCTGACCTCCTCGACATTCTCCAGAGCCCGGAGAGGGGCGATATGGGGTTCCAGATCAGCCTCGGTGGTGAGCTTTAGGCCCTTGCCCTCGAGGGAGAAGATCTTGTCCGAAGAAGCCATGATGCGCAAACAGATACTAGGGAGCCAGTGAAAAGGGTAAAATACCAGTTCTTGCGTCACTTGGAATACATAAATCAAGCAAACAAAGAAACAACAACAAACCAGACCTTGCTAGGCTCTAGGCAGCGGAAATTGTGGTCATAGTGGGGGCGGGGCACGAACTCCCAGATGGCTCTGTCTGGACAAGAAAGGAATGGTCGAGAACCGGGAAATTTCGAGGCGGTGTAGGGTAGCTTGGCTACAATAAGGCAAGACCAGACGAGAAAAGAGTGGGGCGGGTACTGAGATACTTGTTGATGAACATCACTTCCAGCTCCCCGAAATTGCACGTGACCGAGCCAATCAGCGTCGGCCCATTTCGGAACGCTGGATTTTCTCCAATGCCTTACGATTTCGATTGAGCCTTTTCGCCCTCCGAACCCGATATCCATTCCCCCATCACCGACCTACTCACACCGGCTTCTGTACGCCTCGACGTCAGCTTGCCAGTCATGTTGGCAAGGTCATGCTTGCGCTCGACGCGCACCCTCAATGGGCTTCGAAATGGCGCCAACAATGTCACCAAGGTATGGCATCATGATGCACTCCTCTGTCCATCCCGATTGCCGAGGGAATACTATCACCACCAATGCTCTCGCACCAACGGCACATCAATTGCATCGATATCAGGATGGGGTCAATTGGGAACACTGCTAACATGTCAATTCGTGCAGCGTGCCGCCTCGACGAGCTCCGGCGCTGCTAACGAAGCTGTCCCTACGCGCCTGAACGTCGCCGCCGCCGCCTCGACCACCCTCGCTGTTGGCTCCATGGCCTGGTACTACCACCTCTACGGCCCCGTGGCCTTCGCTTCGACTCCTGCTGAGGAAGGGTATGTTGGAACATGGTCCTGATTGACGTCCACGGGAGCGTTTGTGTGCACGATTCTTCGGTTGCGGCATAAAACGATACCTACGAGACGCCGTCATAGACCAACAGCGATGCTAACGACAGCCTCTAGTCTTCACCCCACCAAGTACCCCTGGGTTCACGAGCAGTGGTTCAAGACCTACGATCACCAGGCGTAAGGAACTGCCCTTCAATTCCACGCTGCCAATGGCTGCCAATTTATTGACATTCGTCCTAGCCTCCGCCGTGGTTTCCAGGTCTACCAGGAAGTCTGTGCCTCTTGCCACTCTCTCGAGAGAATCCCTTACCGAAGTCTCGTTGGTTCCATCCTCACTGTCGATGAGGCCAAGGAGCTCGCCGAGGCGAACGAGTACCCCGGCGAGCCCAATGAGCAGGGTGATATCGAGTTGCGCCCCGGAAAGCTTGCCGACTACCTTCCTTCCCCCTACAAGAACGAGGAGGCTGCCCGATTCGCCAACAACGGTGCTCTCCCCCCTGATCTGAGCCTGATCGTCAAGGCCCGCCACGGTGGCTGCAACTACATCTTCAGCTTGTTGACTGGCTACCCCGAGGAGCCCCCCGCCGGAACTGTTGTCGCCCCTGGCATGAACTTCAACCCCTACTTCCCTGGTACCGGAATTGCCATGGCCCGTGTCCTATATGACGATCTTGTTGAGTACGAGGATGGCACTACTGCCTCCACTTCTCAGATGGCCAAGGATGTTGTCGAGTTCCTCAACTGGGCTGCTGAGCCTGAGATGGATGACCGCAAGAAGATGGGTATGAAGGTTCTCGTCGTCACTGCCTCCCTCTGGGCGGTGAGTGTATGGGTCAAGCGCTACAAGTGGGCTTGGCTGAAGTCGAGAAAGCTCGCTTACGACCCTCCTGCTGAGAGCAAGGTCCGCCACTAAGCTGGTGGCCAAAGTTGCGCCTCAGGAAGTGTATACTAGTCGCTCTCGCTCCCTCAGATCAGGTCCTTTTTTCCTACTAGTAGAGACGGGTGAAAAGGGGGGACACATATTGGCAGGACGGTCAGAAGTGGTAGTTAGAGTGTAAATCAGCTAAAACGTTCCAGTACTTTACTTTGTCTTAAAGCATCCAACTTCATACAGCTCTGATCCTTCATGAAACCCCGGTGATCATCGTAGCACTGACCCAGTATCTAGGTACCTACCTAGGTAAGGTATGTATGTGATGGGCAAGGCCCCTTGACCTCCGTTCGTCCTGGATACCCTATACACGCCATTTGTGTGAGGATGCTGCATTTGCATTGCCCCCGGAATCTCCAGACGGGAGACATGTCTTGGAGCAATAACTGGGAAGTTAATTAGAGACACCTTTCACCATCCAGCTGTTCACTTCAATCTGCGAAACAGGTCGGTTAAGGTGCTGGGCGTTCCAATATCAACGATGGATCCAATCCTCTGGCCCCCACTGGGAATGGCGAGGGACTTAAGACCAGGCAGGCTGCTGCAGGGAGCAAGGGCCACTAAACCCAAACGTCGCATCGCTGTACGGAACCACTAAAGAGAATCCTAGGCCCTGGATAGCGATAGCCCAGCAATCAGATTGTTGAAACCGCCGTGTCTGATCAGCCGTTCACTCTGTCACCCCAACACTCGCCTCCCGCTTTAGAGCCGATCCCGCCACAAAACACCTCCCTTTCTCATCCCAACCCTTCTTCCTTCGTGAAATAGGTGCTTAAAATACACCCTTCACCTTCAACTACAACGCTCACCAGTGCCCTTTTCCTTCAGTCGCTCACTTGACACCCGATTTTCGACATCGCATCTGAAGTGGCTCTGCATGGTCCGAAATAGAGGTAGCAACCGCTGAGCAACAACCACCCATCATCATCGCTTCTGCCGACGATGCCCTTCGTCGGCCCAGATGCCCAGCTGGCTGCTCGCAAAAGAAGATGGGAACACGATGAAGACGACGACGTCATGATCCGCCGGCTCTACGGCCCAGAAGAGTCCTCGGACCTCATCCTCCTCAACCACCCTCACTACCACCAGCCGTCACAGCAGTCCGACCGAGCTCGCAAGATCCTGCCCCTGTCTAACAAACGGGCACGGATCGCAGAGGACGAGATACATTTACAAGATAACCACAACAGCAGCCGCCGGCGGCTGTCCCAGCAGCTTCGCGTGCTGCACGACCAAACTCCCTCACCGGGCAGCAAAGCGGCGGCAACGAAGCCGCTCCTCACGCCCTGCCACATCTGCCACCGAAGACCAACGAAGAAATCCCAGCTGGACTCATTCGCCGAGTGCGAGGGATGCGGAGAGCGCACATGCTTCGTGTGCATCCGCCAGTGCCAGGGATGGAGCGGCGACGAGGGAAGCGCCCTGTCGGAGCAGGAGGTGCTGTCCCGCTCGTTTCACATGGACGATATCGACGACATGTCACCCGTGGGCGAGAAGCACCCCGACACGAATTTCAGCTCCTCGCAGACGCGAGCAAAGGGATGGGACGCACGCGGGCACCGGACCGTCATCTGTAGCCGGTGCTGCGTTGAGCGAGGTACTGAGGGAGATGTTGCTTGCCTGGGCTGCCTATCTACAACAGAGATGGCTTGAAAGGATTGTAGGATTATCAATAATTAATGTTAGCGCTCGGAAATCGCTGGGGAAGGGACCAATATGGAACGGGAGATGCCCATCTTACGAATTCACGACGACTCGACTCGCCTGCTTTGCTGCCGAATTTCACCAGGCTTACGAAGAGTCTTACGTTTCACCTCGTTACACAAGCATTAATGGAGCAGTATAGGTTGTCAAGGTCATGTCCCAAAGTCGCCTCGACATAGAATGGCGTTTGATGGAGTTATAATCAAGCGAGTTGGAATAGGATAAATTTAATGGTATCCTCGAAGCTCCATAGTAGATAGAATTTAAATAGTATATATCAAAACACCAATCCAAAAGCTTAATTACGAAAGCTCATGCGAACCATCACCGTTTGAGGGCCATTCTTATGAGTCAACGCCAAGTTCTATTGTGTACCAAGGTATTTGAATGCAAGTCATTTCGGGACCCTCCCCGCCCAGACTTGCTCTATTCTTACACCATGTAAATTACATAAACTAATTGTACTGCATGTAAGTGGCTGTTGAGTTGAACTTCAGGTTGCCCTTGATGACTTTGTCCACGGCACTGAGGAAGTCCTTCTCAGTGGCGACCTTTCTCCTGGCTCGGATGGCAAACATGCCGGCTTCGGTGCACACGCTGCGTAGCTCGGCACCGGTGGCATTGGGGCAGAGGCGAGAAATGAGTTCCCATCGAATGTCCCGCTCGACGGACATACTCTTGGCGTGAATGCGGAGAATGTTGGCACGGCCGTCGAGATCGGGCAACGAGAACTCGATCTTTCGGTCGATACGACCAGGTCTCATCAGGGCCGGGTCGAGGGTTGAAGGTCTGTTGGTGGCGAACATGACCTTGATGTTTCCTCTGGCGTCGAAACCATCAAGCTGGGTGATGAGCTCCAGCATAGTTCGCTGCACCTCGTTGTCTCCACCAGCACCGTCGTCGAAACGTGCACCACCAACAGCGTCGATTTCGTCAAAGAAGATGATGCAGGCCTTCTTCGTCCTGGCCATCTCGAAAAGCTCTCGCACCATTCTTGCTCCCTCACCGACGTACTTCTGTACCAGTTCACTGCCAATGACTCTGATGAAAGTGGCATCTGTTCGGTTGGCCACAGCTCGGGCACACAAGGTCTTTCCGGTTCCTGGGGGGCCGTAGAGCAGAGCACCCTTGGGCGGGTCGATACCAAGGTTGACGAACCTCTCTGGCGAGAGCAGGGGCATCTCGACGACCTCTCGTAGCTTCTCAACCTGCTCTTTGCAACCACCAACATCGCCGTACGTTACATCAGGTTTCTCTTCTACCGTCATCATTGTGACGCTGGCATCGATCTTTGGTGGTAGCGGAAGCATAATCTGGTACTTGTTACGGTCGACACCGACTCGCATGCCTTCTTCGATATCGGTCGGGCTCACTCGATCACCGAGCTGGACGACAAACTTGGCAATCTGCTTGACGTTAATGACATATTTGCTCTTCGACTCGTCGCCCTTCTCGTCGGCAATGATCTTCGTGCATCGCGCTACTTGAAACGGCTGCTCTTCAGACATGCGCTGTCGGTCGGCGGCGACATCCCACAGATGGGGTGGTGCAAGACCGGTATCTGATTCCTGTTTAGATGGCGTCGGTTAGTCCGAAGCTTGGATGAGGTCCTGATGCGGCTGAGGGGCAGTAGTACCTTGACTCCAATCTTCTCGTCGACGCTTTGCTGCTTCTCCTTGATCTGCTTCTCTAGCTTCTTGAGAGCGGCGCCGTACGGGGCAGCTCCGTAGGTCTTGAGGACTTGGATATCCCTGGTTCGACATGTGAGTGTTTGCCCTGGAGGAGAGCTGTAGGACGGTCGGTGCATACTCATCGGTCAGAGGTGTGATCTTCTTCTCTTCTACCTCATCATCGGCAAATTTCTTCTGGTACTTCTCCCAGTCCTGGCCAGTTGCGGAAGGCTACATAGGTCAGCATGGACGAGGGGACCTATAGTAGGTAGGAATAGATGCTAGTGTCGAGCTCACCATGATACAATCCGCCGCCTAATGAGCGACAGTGATGGACTCTTTCGGACAAATTTCGAGAATGATTTCGGCGGGCTTGCAGTATTGAGCGTGTGTTGGGTATATGCCGGTTTTCGAAAAGGTAGATGGTGTCGTCGTGAGCTAGCTGGTGCTGATAATGAATGTCATGGAAGCAAGCATGGAGGGATGCCGTAATCCAGGCTGCCTGCTGTTTGCTTGCCGCTGCCCTCCAACGCTGTGCTGCATGCGCGCAGATCCACTATTGTTGACAGGGTCGAGTCGCCAATGGGGGCTAGCCGGCAATCGGAGTTGGATAATCTTGGGGTCCGAGCCCAAAATTTCTGGCTGCAACAATTTGATTCTACGAGCGACCACTGCAGCCCACCACCCAAGGCAGAAAGTGGGATATTATAGCACCCTGGGTAGACTAGGAAAACCGTTCCAAGCTCCATCCCCTTTCTTACCTTTGCGTCCACCCGTTCTTCTCTGAGGCTTTGGGTATTTGCTTTACAGTTTTCAAGATGGCTGCGGAAGTATCATCGGGCGGCGGCGGCGGCAACGCAACTTTCAAGGTCAGAACAGCTTCGCGAAGCTTCCCAACTGCCCCGCTAACAGGTAGCAGGATAAGGAGAAGCCCACCGCCGTGCGATCCTCCAACATTGTTGCTGCCAGAGGTATAGCGACTTTCCAAATGTCCATATTTAATAACATTTAATTAACCATGTATCTCTCTTATAGCTGTCGCCGATGCCATCAGGACGTCCCTCGGCCCCAGAGGCATGGACAAGATGATTCGAAGCGGAAAGGGAGAAACCATAATCACAAACGACGGCCACACCATGCTGAAGAGCATGTCTGTCCTACATCCCACGGCAAAGATGCTTGTCAACCTTGCCGGTGCCCAGGATGTCGAGGCCGGTGATGGAACTACGTCCGTTGTCGTTATCTGTGGCAGTCTCCTTGGAGCCGCCGACCGACTTCTCTCCAAGGGTATCCACCCCTCCGTGATCTCAGACTCCTTCCAGCGAGCTGCCGCTGCGGCCGTCGAAGTTCTACACGAAATGTCTCAGCCCATCTCTCTCTCGGATACCGCTTCCCTCCTCCAAGCCGCCAACACCTCGTTATCTTCCAAGATCGTCTCCCAGTACTCGAACCTCCTCGGCCCCATGGCCGTGAACTCTGTCACCAAGACTATCGATATCAAGACTGCAGACAATGTGGATCTGCGCAACATTAGAATAATCAAGAAAGTGGGAGGAACTATCGAAGACAGTGAGCTGAACGATGGCCTCGTCCTCACCCAACCGGTGCTGAAGAATGCGAATGGACCAATCCGCATGGAGAAAGCCAAGATCGGTCTGATCCAGTTCCAGCTCAGTCCCCCCAAGCCCGACGTGCGTATAAGATCTGTTAAAACGAAAGAACGGTGAGAATTGTTTACTGACTTGGTACACTGCAGATGGAGAACACCGTCCAGGTCAACGATTATCGACAGATGGACAAGATCGTCAAGGAGGAGCGTCTTTATCTTCTCAACATGGCCAAGAAGATCAAGAAGGCTAAGTGCAATGTATTATTGATCCAAAAGTCGATTTTGAGAGACGCCGTCAACGAGCTATCTCTCCATTTCTTGGCCAAGCTTGGTATCTTGGCCATCAAGGATATCGAGCGTGAGGAGGTCGAGTTTATTTGCAAGTCCACTGGCTGCAAGCCCATTGCCGACATCGACTCTTTCACCGAGGACAAGCTTGGATCCGCCGATCTGGTCGAAGAAGTGCAATCCAGTGGATCCCGCATGGTCAAGGTCCACGGTGCAAAGGCTACCGGAAAGACCGTTTCCGTGGTGGTTCGCGGTGCCAACAGCCTGATTCTTGAGGAGGCGGAACGCAGTTTGCATGACGCCCTTTGCGTCATTCGCTGTCTGGTCAAGAAGAAGGCGCTCATTGCTGGTGGAGGTGCCCCTGAGATTGAAATTGCTGCTCAGCTGGCGAAGCAAGCACGTAGCCTGACGGGCACCGAGGCCATCTGCTGGAAGGCATTCGCCGATGCCATGGAAGTTATCCCCACCACCTTGGCCGAGAATGCCGGTCTGAACAGCATCAAGGTCGTCACAGATCTCCGACACAGGCACGAGATGGGCGAGAAGAACGCCGGAGTGAGCATCAAATCTGGAGGAGTCAACAACAACATCTCCAAGGAGAACGTTCTCCAGCCCCTTTTAGTCAGCACAAGCGCTATTGAGCTTGCCGCTGAGACCGTCAAGATGATTCTGAGAATAGACGACATTGCGTTGACTAGGTAGAGGTTGAGGAAGAAAACAAAACTGGACTGGATGCTTGATCTGTATGATAAATACCACGACATGAACAAAAGGCTATAATTCAGTGATAATAACGACCTGACTCGCGTTAATGATCGGGTTAATGATAAATTTTGCGGTTGCCCTGATATTTCTGTCCCTGAAAACGGCAATTGTCTGCCTCTGAGTTGGGGTTAAGGAAGGAGTGAAGGTGGCCGTGCCTGCCCTTCCCAGAGCCATACGATAGAAAAAGCAGCACATCGCGCCAGGTACAAAATCAGCCGTGCCACGATTTCTATGCCTTCATTATTTCGGCAGTGATCCCATATTTTTTCAAAACATCAGCTTGTGGTCTTCTTGCATCCAATATCACAGTGTTTCGCCCTTCGTTGATTATTCTCGAGTGTCCCTTAATAACGAAGATACATAACTTTCTTCGCGGAAAAGAAGTTTGTTGCCATCACACCATGCCCGCAAAACGGTTGCAGGCAGCTTCTTACTCTGGCGGCGAAAGTGATACGGAATGGGTTGCCTTTCAAACCCAGGTGAAAATTCAAAAAGTAGGAGTGCTGCTTCTACCTCTTCATCGAGCGCAATAATGAAAACGGCCATTTCTAACTGCTGACTATGACCAAAGTTGAGAAAGGAAAGAGATCAACAGATGGCCGCCGTCATCACAGACGCCGAGAATGCATTGAAGGGGGTTAAGGCTCGAGCAGTGGCCGTCCACGCTGAGCAGCTCCGGGGAAAGTACGTCTACACTTGAACTCGCATATTCACCTCTTTTCCATTGGTTTCAGCTTTCTTTTACTCCAAAAGGCTAATTTGGGACCCAGGCTCAAATTCAAAAGCCAGTGTGTAAACAACATTGCCCAGAGCTTGGAACGACGACAAGCGATTGAAGCACAAATGGTGGAATTGGTTGCCGACACACACGCGAAGATGAGAGAAGTGGAGGATGTAATTATGGCTGGCTACGAGGGTAGAGAACGAGAGGCTTCGGCGACTTCATCTACAACTTAATGTAGGGTTCGATTTCAGAAGCATTTCGGAGGGATGAATGTTATTGACTCAGGAGTCAATTTTTCCAAGATTCCATGACTGGGCGGCAATATATGAAACTGTGAATCCTTATTTCCGGGCTTGAGTTTCTCTTGTAATTCCGAGGAGTTATTGAGTATTACTAGAAACCTGACATGGTATGTGCACTGGGAAGCGAGTTAAATCGAGGTTCAAAAATAAGTGGTGTACATAGGTTCGCCCCCGGAGGTCTAACGAATAGTATACATTCTCCTGTTTTACACGGCCAAGGCGGCGGCTGATGACTTTTCTTGCTCGACCAAACCTCTCTGATCAGTTTTCCTCATTATACCTTGAATCCGTAGCCAACCATGCAGCTCTTGTATTGGTCGACCAGGGATCTGCAGTCCGCGGCGGGGTCAGCGGACTTGGAGAAGAGCATGCACTCGTCACGCTTCGACTTTTCCTCCTTGCAAACGCAGCATGGCTAAAAAGAGTGTGTGTAAGCTTCGAGGATCGGATATATCAGGTGATTGGCACGGGTTGTGCTCGCTGTTCGGCTTCGGCATCCTCGCGGGTATATGGGCTCGCTGTGGGAGGGCCCGTGGGCCAATTGGAGCGATAGGATGTATATTCAGCGACGCACCTTGGGCTTTTCGACGGCATTCGTCTTCACTGGGCATGAGGCACCATTCAGATCTGTACGGAACCAAGGTCAGCAAGGGCGGCTCGAGGTAACGACTGCTCTTGTTTCCGGGCAGCTAGAACTTGCCTGAAGCAGCAATCTTGGCATCCATTTTGTCTCGGTCGTCTTTGCAGGTGATCAATCCACGATATCAGAGCAGCTGGAGGCAATCCGGTTCGATGTTGGAAGCTGGCGCAACAGCGGGAACGATCGGGTTGGAACTGCGGTCGTTGAACTGACAGATCAGGAAAAATCCTTATCGATAGCCCATAATGTGCTCTCGATTTATAAGCCGTCATCAATCACACAACCGTCCCTGCATATACGGGTTCCTGGCGACTTCCAGCACATTCAACTTGTTCCTGCATTTCAGCTGTCTTATGCCTCTCGTATTCTTGACCTCACTGGCGATCTTCCACGAGTTTGACCATGAGAATGCATCTTCATGAGTGTGACCTTGGCTCGTGCTTCGATGGTACTAGTGCATGTCGTCATTCCTGGGCATTCAATCCTGGCTACCCTATATCAATCCATTCTGCTGCTGACAATCGTGCCCTGGCATGACACAGCCCATCGAAATTTTATATATAACAGAGTTCACACATCAGCTTGAGGCTGTGTGGGTAGGCACATGGCTGGAATCTCAACCCGCCCCGCGGTGGGTTTCTACCGTGACATTGGATTGCTCTGGATTGACGAAAATAGCAAGTGATCGAACGGCTGGCTTCGATAGCGTGGCTTTTTGCCGATATACTTCAAGCCGCTTTGGGCCGGTTATTGTAATTTAGTTTTCAGCGCATGCTCCGTGTGCGCACTAGGACACTGACAATGAGATGCTAAGCATTAATATTAGATCATCTAGAATGGTGGCAAAAGCGGTCATATGAAGCTCAAGCTCAATTGCTTCAATATCTCGAAATTTGCCGGTGTCTTGGGTCGAGTGAAGTTAATTAGCCTGAGACATGTCTGAACCCAATTCGCAAGCGAGTGGGGGTGGCCCGCACGGAGAAAATATGTACATCATAGTGGAGGAAGGAAGGCCATTTTGTTTTTTTTTCTTTTTCGTGTTCTGCCAACGGGTCGACCGACGTGAGAATTGAATTTCGAGACTTCACGGCGGGGTGGGTACACGGCCGAACACTGTTGCCATGGCTAGTAGGAGACCCAATGGTGCGATGCAAGTCCAGAAGATCTCGGCTGCTCAGCTGAAGCCATACGCGGGTTCCAGACCAGTGGCATACCACGCCACCAAGCGAGAGGAATGGATATTGGATAGACTGCAGGTTAAATTTTTTCGTTCGTTCCCCTTCTAGACTGTTACCTATTATGTATGACGAGATACTACGTATTGTCGGAGTATTTCGAGGCGGACGGACAGTTCTTTTGTCACGGGGAATTGTCAGTAGCTATTATTGAGACGTAATATGGCGATGACGCTCAATATTGTGCGGAATGCGAATTACACCCCTGTGGACAAGAAAAAGGTCGGGTTCGGGAAAGCGGGCAAATTAAGAGCAGGACTCAGCCTCAATAAGGGGAAATGCTACACAAAGACGAGCCCGAGTGGGTGGGGGGTTCGGTCCCTTGGCGCAGGTCATTGGATTGGGGCCAGGTCCGTCCGGTGGACATTTGAGAGAGCCACGCATGCTACTTGGACTTGGTACATGCACGAAAAGAGGGATTTGATATTGCGACGGCAAGCCCAGGAGCCACGGCCGGGCGAGACAAAAGGCCCGAACGTGCTCTGGCACTGGCTGCCAACGCACCAACGGAGAGAAGGGAAGGGGGGCTTTCTTGCCTAGTGCCTCGGTGAGGTGGTGATGGTTCCTCAGCTGGGGTTGAAAGCGGGCAAGCCTGGTTGAGGGCGCAATTAAAGAGGACTCTTGAACTGACATTGACGTGCATGCGCAAGCCGTAGTAGTCGTAGCCACTGGTAGTAGCATGGTGTTGGTTGACCCTCCCCGGCCGGCTGCCGCCGTCGTCTCGCCGCCGAGACCTGGCCTGGCCTGACTATTTACCCAGGCTAAGGGAGAACAATGAATGGGCGGTGAGCTGGGCTCAGTTCAGTTGGACACAATGGATGGGAGAATCCGGTGCCAGCGGCGGGAGCCCGAGCCTGTTGGGCATCTCGTGAGCGAGAGCGGGCGAGAGTGAGCATCAGCATTGCGTCGATGACACAAGGCGAATTTGGGTTGGGCTTATGGCAAGCCACAGCACAAGAATATGCGCAGCGTCATGATCAGCTTTGCAAAGGCCCCTAGTCCTAGTCAAAGTCCTAATAGCAGATGTCTGACAAGATCCCAAACCTTGGGGTGGCTGGGGCGCCCCATGCTTATCAAAGTATTCCGATTATCCTGGCGAATCCGATGGCTTGAGGAGAAGGGGAGAGAGGAGCAAAAACCATGCACATACAAAACAACAGGTAAGAAATAAACACGCTGTACATGATACGAAGAGGCGTTCAAGAGGGTTGCAATATTCGAGCGCATCTGACCCGGGCATGCAGCGTTCCATGTACATTAGTCGGATGTGTAATTGATGGCTCGACAGCCCGCGAATTGAACAACGGCGTTGTATGCATATGCAGAGTGTCGTTCATATTCACAACCGCGGCTGGTTCTCGAAGCCACAGGGCCATATATTGGATGGGGTATTATCCGGTCTATCCACTAAAGCCTTGTTTTCATGCACAGGTCGGGATACTATTGCTTTCTTGGGTCAATGCCAATGCAGCGTCATGCCAGCTGGAGGCGAGACTCTTACAACACATCTTACCATTGCCGGCCGCAAGCAACACTCGGATTTGATCAAGTCGGTGCCTGTTGTCTCGCACGCTGCTTTCTTTTTCCCCAGGCACGATGCAGCACCCGTCTTTTTTTGGAGCGTCGCTCCCTGAGCATGCATGTCTTGGCTGAGACAAGCAGCCCGCCGCGCCGCACGCCATGCTGCCGCGCTCACAAACTCGTACTCGACCTCGCAGGTAATTACAGGGCTCCATATTCCCAAGTCCCTTGTCTTGGCACCGTGGATCCAGACTTGCTTCTCTCCACCGCTCGTCGCTGGCCAGCTGCAGAGAGGGAGGGCCCAGGGAGCCTGAGCTGGAAGCCATTGGCGCTGGCAGGCCCAGTCAGCCTTAATTACCACGCCCGGCTCCCTGAACGCTCCGCTCCACTTGGCTGCTCGTGTTCAGGTCTTGGGGCCTAGCAGGCGCTACTCGAGCACGGGCGGTTGTATCATGCTCAGTAGGGCCGGAGCGCAGGTATGTGCTACGACGCTCCAGACATGCGAGTAGGGTGCCTTTTTTAGCACTGGAATAGGGGAAACCCACCCTGCCGACCACCCAGCCTGCCACCCACCTCCTTCCAGGTAAGGTACACAGGGTGGGTAGCACGTACTAAGGTACCGACCGGCACAGGAGGGAGGTGATGTGTTCCATGGGTGGTGGCCGTGAACAAGCCACCCGAGCAGTACCGGTACGTATTCGCTCGGGGCTCCGAGGTCGCTTCTCGCCGCTGGCTTGGCCTGGCGTGACCTTGCTCGTGACTGCGACTGCGTACCCACTACCCGGGTCCACCTACCTGGTCCCCAGCCCAGGCAGGTAGTCGCTACTCAGGTACCTGACCGATCTTACCTTGACTTGACCTTGGCCAGACTCGCCTGAACTTGCCCTGGGCTGGCTTCCATTTGCTGCCGTGCTGTGCTGGAGTGTGTGTTGCATCTGCTATATAAGGCAGGGACCCTGGAACACCCCCTCCGGCTTCTTGCAATCGACGACGTTATCCTCCCTCCATTTCAGCATTCGATCATCAGTCGCTCCGTCATTGTCCAGTTCGCATTTTGCCAATCTCTCGCTCCCGGCCGTCCAGTCTCTGTAGAAAGTAGTCTATATTTATTTGCTGTTTGTTCTCCGGCGCTCTGTCCGCTTGTTTATATTCGACTTTCCATTCTGCCCGCGTTGAAGCTCTGGTTACTGCACTGCTCCTGTTTGTCTGCGCCAAGCGATCAGCCCAACATTCAGCAGTTGCTCGCGTGCTTACCTCCTCCCACCCGCTCCACACCTACACAACACTGCACTTGCGGCGATCTCAATTACTCCCACGACAATCGAGACCGTCAAAACGAGGGGAAGAGAGATCGACTTTTCTCGGCGCCCAAATATGAGAGACGGCTTCTGCTGCGACCTGGACCGACGACCATAACCATCTGCGACTACTGAACTTCGACTTGCAAACAACCACGAAACATACACCAAGAACGATATTTAATCAACATCACACACGAACACACACACTTCACGATGCGTCGATGCGGCCAAAAGTACGTTGGAGCGGAGGACGAGATTTGGGATGAGGACAGCTATTTCACCTACCGTCCGCTCTCCAACCTGCCCACCCCGCCCCCAAGCTCACGAAACTCATCTGCTGCTCAGTCTCCCAAAACCACGCTGGACGATGGGGAGGAACTGCAGGCCAAGTATAGGGGTAAGTTTTGGCTAACAGTTACCCCGGATATGACGATCCAAGGATGATCGGCTAACCGTGATCCAAACGCTAATTAGGCCCGGCCGTCCATCTCGTGAACCTAATCCCTTCCACCGCCTCGCTGGCCAACGCTTCGATTCCTCTGGTGCAGGCCATGCTCACCCGAGCCGACTTGCCGCTCGAGACTGTGGCGCTGGCCGTCTGCATTCTGGACAGCCTCGACGCTCGCTTCGCCCGCACCTGGCGCCTGTCCTGCCCGCTCCTCTCTGGCTACATTGCGCCGAGGTCCAAGCGACACACGCTGCCGTCCTCGCCATTCGTCCACAGCCAGTTCCCCAACCAGCTGCACATTGACTCTGTCAATCCCGAGCTGATTGTTCTCTCGGCGCTCGTCATCGCCTCCAAGTTCACTCAGGACCTTCAGGACTCCTCCCACCACTACTGCGAGAATTGGGGTCGTGGAATGTGGTCCGCCGAACAGCTCAATGTGACGGAGCGCTGCATTATGGAGCGCCTAGAGTACAGAATCATGCCACTATGCGAGGAATCATGTATCACAGATGCGATGGTGGATATGCAGCTTGCTGGGCGTCATCATGATTGGCATTCCCGGCAACCCACACCCCCCGAGAGTTTAACCCCCCACAGTGTGGAGGGTGACTTTGTCCCGTCTCACAGCCGTTCTAAGACAATGGCTACGACAGTCGGCCTCGGAATGCTGTCCATGGGTCTCAAGGGCTCTTCCGTGGCTGCGACTGGTTCATCAGCTTCATGAACCACCTCGACCGACTTCCCGGTATTTAGGAATTGGATTGCAATCCATTCCACGACGACGAATTTTTTTCCTTCATTTTCACATTTGATTTCTTGGCAAGCGTGGGAGGCATTTCTTGTGCAAACCTGGGGGCCACTCCATTTTCTATGCATGACGCACGGCGTTGAATTTTCGGCATCTCCGTTTTGAAACTACGATTGCTTTTTAATGTACACCTGGAACGCATACTCTTCTGTTATATATGTACGGATCCATTTGGGGCCTAGATGGCCCAGGACATTCTGATCTTCAATTGGGGTTTGCACAGCATTTACTGGACAGTGCTTACAGAGCGACAATGCTTGATACCTAGATAGTTTGTTTTGGCGTATGTTGGACATATCCCTGGATTTTGGGACGGCGGCGGCCGCCGGGTATTTGGATTCGCTTGGAGATCTTACCATCTAATCTTTTGAATGATAACTCCTAATGGCTGTATGGCCGGATTCGCTACCTGAAAACTGTATCCCTCGTATGCTGTGAACTCAAGGACTTAATCTCTGCAGCGTCCACGGGGCATCCTCTTTCCCCTCTTCTCGTTCATAAACGAACCTGTCATGCAGGCGACTCTCTCTACCTTGCCAAAACTCGACAACGGAAGGGACGATCCTCAGACCACCCCAAAAGTCGGGAACAGGGATGTCATCCTTGCCCTGGAACTTCTCCTCGACCTCCTTCACCCAGCCCTCGAGCTGGGCGCGGCCGTCGTCCTCCCCCTCGCCATCGCCGCCCTGGGGCTGGAGCACCTGGCTCTGGCGGCTGGCCCAGGCGCCGATGCGGCTCCCGCGCACGCGGGTGTCGAAGTAGACCTGGCTCTCCTCGCGCGACAGCCTGGTCGCCACGCCCTCGACGCGGACCTGCCTCTGCAGCCCTTCCCAGTAGAAGAGCAGGGCGGCGTGGGGGTTGGACTCGAGGTCCCTGGCCTTGCGGCTGGTGGAAAGGTTGGAGTAGACGACGAAGCCGCCGTCGGCGTCGAGCTCCTTGAGGTAGACGACGCGGGAGGTGACGCGGCCGGAGGGGAGGGAGGCGGTGGAGAGGGTGCAGGCCTCTGGGTGCGCGACGAGGGCCTGCTGGTTGGACTCGGTGGTGCTGGTGGTTGTGGTGGTTGTGGCCTTTTGGGCCTGGGAGAACCAGGTGTTGAACTGGGCGATTGGGGATGTGGGGTTGAGGTCGGAGCGGTGAAGCTTCCCGAGGGTGAACTGCTCGGCCTGGCCGTGGGCTTGGGAACCTGCGGGGGCGACTACGGAGGGGGGGGAAGGGGGGTTGGTTAGCTTTGGCTTTTTCTTTATATGGATGTAAGAAGGTTTATGGCTGTGGTGGTTTGGGGGAGGGGAGAGGAGGAGGGGGTTTGGAGATGGATGGTGTTGTATCGAGATGATGGAGGGGTAGGTAGGTAGTACAGGGAACCACAGGCAGGATTGAGGACTTACATATGAGCTTGTCTGGGGCTGAGTGAAGCGCCATTCTTGCTGACTTGAGTGTGGCTCTCAAGGATAGACCTCGTCTGTACATATATGGTTCTGAGTCTAGTATATGAGATTGGAGTCAGACGAGAGAGGACGGAGAGAGCGGCCGAGCCCAGTATATAGATGTAAGCTGGTCTGAGGTGAGCTCGACACCGCCAGAGCTCGATATGACTCCCAAGATGTTCTGGAAGTGACTACGAGGAGCAGCAGCCGCAAGTGGTGAGACGGTGGTATGATGGGATGGCGTGAATTGGGGGAGCGACAGCACTTCGGCGCAGTCGGTCCTCAGCCCTAGCGGGGTCGGTGAGGGAGCTTCTGGCAGGAGTGTTGGGGCTGATCCGGCGTTGGAGCCGCCTCTTCACACCACTGCGGCCGTTCACTCCACCTCGGTTGCCGTTACGTACTGGCTGGATGCGAGATGTGACAGATCAATTGCTTCGCTGAGGCATCCCCTTTCGATGATTGCTTGGAGAAGATGCTTCCCCGGCATGCGGTTTTATATCCATAAGATACAGCTCTTGTTGGCAAGTCTTGACTCATCTGATATTATGGGTTTGTATGGCAGATCCGATCTGTGGACTATCCTCCGATCACCGAAACCGGATATACTGGATGCTCATCTGGATGCATCATAGACATAGAGACACACACAGAGACAGACACACAACGACACACAGAAGCAAAGGGCGTGATGGCAAATCAATGTACGGGAATTACGAATCGATTTATTAAAATAAACTACCTAGACGAAACTAAACTGAATAAATACAATATATACAAAATAGAAACAGATCCCACCCTTGCCAAAAACAACGATCTAAACCCACGCTAACAAACCCAAAAACGCCGATCCGAGACACACGACGTCCAACGCCAATGAAACGGACGCAGACGACGGTGATATGGTATATACGTGAAATACACGCAACGTACACGACACTGGTCGGGACGAAACGCATACATAACACATACATAAACATACAGAACGAACAAGGCATCGTAAAACCGCAAACGCATACAATGCGCCACGGGGATACGCAACGCCGCCGTCCCATCTCGGAGAGAAAGAAATCCCAATACGTTATAGTGGTCTACCTTTTGTTAAAGATGCCATTTTATCACTTGTTTTTGCTTTTATCGTCGATACCCCTTGAGCCTTTAAAAGAATGCCACGCAGTTGCCCAGGTGAGTATCGCCCAAGATAGCCTAGAAGATAGAAGAAGAGAAAAACGCAAACGAAAATCAAGTAAACACTTTTCTATACCGCCCCGTTCTCTATGCTTTCGCCTATCCGTGCATGACAAGTGCCAGTAGGGCCATTCGGCAGTAGAGACCGTAGCGCATCTGCAATACATGTTAGCCGATCCGCGCTTATTCGTTGGGGGGGATGTAAATTAGTAGTATCGGGGGGGGGGGCGTGACAAGAATCCTCTTTCTTTTACTTACCTGTCTGAAGTAGGCTGCCCGTTGGTCAAAGTCCACCTCCTCGGCCACCTCCTCGTTCCTAGGCAAGGGGTGGAGGACCACCATGGAGCTCTTGGCGTGCTTGAGCGCGGCGTTGTCGACGCGGTACGAGTTCTTGACGGCCTCGTACTCCTCCGCGCTGGGGAACCGCTCCTTTTGCACGCGGGTGCAGTAGAGGACATCGCTGCGGGCGAGGATCTCGGGGGTCAGGGTCTCGGACTCGACCAGCAGCTGGCCGGATTTGACGAGCTGCTCCCTGACGGCGGCGGGGAGGGCCAGGCCCTTGGGCGCCACGAGCTGCACCTGAACCTCGTAGTGGCGGAGCAGGTACACGAGCGAGTGGACGGGGCGTCCGTAGAGGAGGTCTCCAATGAAGGTGATGGTCAGCCCGTTGACGGTACCAAACTCCTCACGGATCGTGAACAGGTCGAGGAAGGCCTGGGTCGGGTGCTCTTTGCTTCCGTTTCCTCCGTTGATGACGGGGACGGGGCTGAACTTCTGTGCGATGTCGACGGAATGCTCCGAGGGATGGCGCAGGACCACGGCGTCACCGTAGCAAGCCAGGGTGCGGAGAGTATCCTGGAGAGTCTCTCCCTTCTGCACTGAGGATTGCGAGGTGGCAATGGGGACTGTGCGGCCTCCCAGGCGCTGCATGGCGGCATCGAACGAGGCAGAGGTTCTGGTCGAAGGCTCATAGAAGAGGGTGCACAGGAGACGTCCCTTCAGGATGTCGAGGACTCCCTCCCGCTGAACACCGAGGCGCATCTCCTGAGCAACGGTGAAGAGCAAATGCAGATCTGATCGGCTGTATTGCTTAACAGAGAGCACGTGCGTATTCTTAAACGAAGAAGATCGCGACAGCAGGTGCTGGACAGAAGAGCGGGTAGAGGACTGCAATTGGAGGGGTAGCAGAGACTCCTCCAGTGCCCCACTGACCTTTTCAAGCTGCGAGGGGGAAAGTGCACTGCCCTCAAGGCCGCGCAGCTTGGTAAGGGGCTGCACAGGGGCGAGGATGGACTCTCGCCGGGTCTTCGAGTATGGGCTCTCCGCGACCTGACCGATTGAGGGAACGGTAGGCTTAGATGGGGGAGATGTGGGTGGCAGCAGGGGGGAGGACATGTCCTTGCCCTGAGGGGGAACTGGCAGCAGCTCACCATCCAGGCACACCGTGGTGTTTTGGAACGTGACTCTCTTTACAGATCCGCTCATCTTGCGCCCGGCGAAGGGAGACCAGATAGAGCCCTGAGGAACCTCGTAGGATCGATCAACCTCGACCTCGATGCTGGTGTTGACTTGCTCGTGCAACTCAAAGATCTCCTTGGGATTCTCGTACAGGCGCAGCTTGATATCGTCAATGGTGAGCTTGCCCTCCGTGACTGATGTCAAGAGGAGAGGGAGGGCCTCTGAAATGCCCATGGAGGGGTTGGCCTTGTGTCCCTTCACCCTGGCGAGGTGGTATGGCAGGCTGCCAATGGAGAAGACATCAATGGTGCTCATGTGCTCCCAGAGCGCTGCCTGATCCTCGGCAGTTGGGAGGCGATCACATCCAGGGAAGTCGTTTTGTGATAGGTATAGAGAGTAGATGGACACATCGCAAGTAACTTGCAAGCCCTTCTCCTTGCTGAGAGCAATCAGTCGGATATCATCCTTGGTAGTGACAGATGTGACGTGAATGCGGCGGCTGTGAAGACTGGCGAGGAGGAGGATAGATGCAAGATCGGTCAGCTTGGCGTCGGTCACAATGGGCTTGTATGAAGGCCAATTGTCAAAGTGAGCCGTGACGGCAGCGACTGTGCTCATATTACCCGACAAATGGTTGAACGGGATGAAAAGAGATCCAACCTCGCCAATGACTGTGCTGATCTGCCCATCGTTATCAGACGTAGCCGAGACTGACAGGTTGAAGTCGCAAAAGTTGTCCTTCTGGCTATTCTGCTGCGCAAGCTTGAGGGTGAGGGCATCAGTGATGGAGCCCTCGACGCCAAGAGGCATGACCCGAATCATGGAGAAACCCGAGGCAATGGATGCCTTGGTAACTGCCTCCATATCCTGGCTGCCAGGCGTGACGATACCGGGAACAAAGGCAGCAATGTTGATCAGACCAGGGAGGATAACAGTGCGGTGGCTCGTCTGGTAATCAAGCTTGGAGATGTTAAGGTCAAAGTGGCGAGCAATGGCCTCGACCAAGATCTTGGCATTCTTGACGTTGGTCACCAGAGGAATCTGGTAGTCAACAGCCATTCGTCGAGTCTGGTAACCCTTGCTCATGTAATTGGCTGGGCGACGGTACTTGTTGTTCGACGGCAGGTTGATGTACAAGTCAATGGTGTTCTTCGACAAGTGCTGGGTGAGCGAGAACTCGGATTCTCGGTCCTCGTCGCTTCCAAGGACTTCCAGATACTGAACTGGGATGCCGTGTTCCTGCAGGAAATCGGCGGTACCAGCAGTCGCGAACAGCTTGTATCCGATCTTCTGGAGCTTCTCGACTGAGGGGAGCATCTCCCTCTTGTCCTTGTAGGAACCAATGGACAAGAGGATGTTGGCCTTGGGGATTTTGAAGCCGGTGGACAACAGGGCCTTGAGATAGGCTTCATATTTGTCTATTTTCGATTTGTTAGCTCTGTATGCTTTGCATTCCCATATTCAAATTGGAATAATTTAGACTAACCAACACCAAAGGAAGCGACCTCTCCGGTGGAGGCCATCTCCACACCGAGAACAGGATCGGCACCCGACAGGCGAGAGAAACTGAACTGTGGCACCTTAACACCGACGCAGTTGGCAGGCAGGTCGCTGGGAGGGTAGGCCTTGAAGGGCTCGTTCATGATAGCCTTCGTGGCCAGTTCGATAAGATCAACTCCCATGACTTTGCTAACGAAGGGGAAAGATCTACTAGCCCTGACATTACATTCTATCACTTTTATTTGATCATCTTTCGCAATACTATTTGTCGTTGTTAGCATCCAAGAACATCTCTTGTGGCCAAAGAGGTTTCGGGGGCTGACTTGCAACTGGATATTATAGGGCCCCGTGACGTTGAGGGCGGCACCAATCTTGCGAGTTGCCTCCTCAATTCTCTTGATCGTGGTGCGCTCAAGATCCTGGGGTGGGAGGATGAGGGTAGCGTCACCGGAGTGGACACCGGCGTTCTCAACATGCTCAGAGATAAAGTGACCGATGACCTCTCCGTCCTTGGCCACGGCATCCATTTCAATCTCCTTGGCGTTCTCGATGTACTTGGTGATGACCACAGGATGATCTCGACTTACTTCCGCAGCTTGCGCGAGGTAGGCTTCAAGATCTTTTTCAGAGTACACCGTGTTCATGGCCGCACCTGAAAGAACGTAGGAGGGACGCACAAGAACAGGGTATGTGACCTTTTGGCAGAAGCTCTTGGCCTCCTCGAAGCTGGTAAGTTCTTTCCACGTCGGCTGGTCCACCTCAATGCGGTCCAGCATTCGGGAGAACTTGTATCTGTTCTCCGCACTGTCAATCATCTCTGGGGATGTTCCCAGCACCTTGGCGCCGGCACGGTGCAGAGGGAGTGCAATGTTGTTGGGCAATTGGCCAGACATGGCTCCTAGGATACCTCTTGCGCCCTCTTGTTCGTATATATCCAAAGAAGTCTCCAAGTCAATTGTCTCAAAATAAAGACGGTCAGATTCATCGTAATCAGATGAGACAGTCTCCGGATTGCCTGGATTTGCACGGATTAGCTTCATATTCATCAAGAATGATGTTCTGGAGCGTGTACAGTGGATGTGGGGCTGCGGTATAGGCGCATTTCCTAACTAGGAAATACATCACGTGAGTGACCCACTTGGGTTGAACTCTCGTGGCATACTGACACGGATCATAACAGATGCGGTCCAGGCGATTCCTTGGTTCATCGACCAGAGATTGGACAGACATGGAATGTGCAGTGGTTGTCAGGCAGCCTAACATGGGACTCTGCATGCCGCGTGGGTATCATGGTGATCTTCCAGATCAACAAATGAGACTGAATTCATTGGAAGCCGATGGAATCCACGTCGACCAATTGTTGAGCCCACAGCAGTAGTGAGTCGGGTAGACAGCCATGGTGAAGCAATACAAAAATTCAGACAGATTATTGGGTTTGCTGTATCCACTTGGATAGGAACAAATCGACAACAAAAAACAAACAACCAATATGAAAAACAAATAGATAATATGAAAAACGAGGAGACAATATGAAGAATGAAAGAAAGGGGTGACCTACTGTTAATCATAACAGTCTTGTAGCCTAACTCGCGAAGAGTCCGGATAGCTCTGACAGAGCACCAATCGAACTCGACGGAGGAACCAATCCTATACACTCCGGAGCCAAGAACCACCACTCCGTGATCATCGAAGTCAAGGTCATGCTCGGACGCATTGTATGTAAGGTAGAGGTAGTTGGTGTAGGCAGGGAACTCGGCAGCGACGGTATCAATCTGCTTGACAAAGGGGTGGATACCCGCCTCTTGCCTGAGCCTTCGGACTGCAATCTCATTGGAGCTCCAGAAGTTGGCCAGCTGTCGGTCGCTGAAACCAAGTCTCTTGGCCTGCAATAGAAGGTGGGGGGAGCCAGTGATGTCGGTGGTGCTGTAGTTTGACATGTCCTTGGCAAAGTCGCTCAGGCCCTTGAGCTTGCGGAGGAACCACTTGTCGATCTTGGTCATCTCCCAGATCTTGTCGACGCTGTATCCCTCGTGCATGGCGTTTGCAATGGCAAAGAGACGCTGGTCAGAAGGAGTCTGCAGCTCGTCGTCGAGCTTCATCAGGGCCGGGGTCGCGCCGAACCCGATGTTGTGGAAGTCGATAGACCGGATCGCCTTCTGGATGGCTTCCTCGAAAGATCGACCGATGCTCATGACCTCACCGACACTCTTCATGGAAGAGCCGAGCTGGGTCGACACACGGGTGAACTTCTTGAGATCCCACCTGGGCATCTTGACAACGACGTAGTCGAGAGAAGGCTCGAAGCAGGCGCAGGTCTGCTTGGTGACGGCGTTCTTGATCTCCTTCAGAGGGATACCGAGACCAAGCTTGGCGGCGATGAACGCCAGAGGGTACCCGGTAGCCTTGGAGGCAAGGGCAGAAGACCGCGAGAGACGGGCGTTGACCTCGATAATGCAGTACTCCCTCGAGAAGGGGTTCAGTGCATACTGAATGTTGCACTCACCGACGACGCCCAGATGCCGGATGACATTGACTGCTGTAGTGCGGAGCATGTTGTAGTCCTCATCAGACAGAGTCTGGGAGGGGGCGACGACAATGGAGTCACCGGTGTGAATACCCAAGGGGTCAAAGTTTTCCATGTTACAGACTGTGATGCAGTTGTCCTGGGCGTCACGGACGACTTCGTACTCGATTTCCTTCCAGCCCTTCATACTTCGCTCAATCAGGACCTGGGGACTTGCGGCGAATGCCTTGTCGCAGAGGGCCCTTAGTTCGTCAGGGTTGTTGGCGAAACCACTGCCCAGACCACCAAGAGCATAGGCGGCACGGACAATCACAGGGAAACCAATATCCTTGACGCATTCCATGGCTTCTGTGATGTTGTTGGCGGAGGCGGACTTGGCACACTTCTCGCCAATGGTCTCCATGCTTCGGGCAAAGAGCTCACGATCCTCGGTCGTGATGATGGTGTCAATGGGGGTACCGAGAACCTTGACACCGAGCTCCTCAAACTCATCCTTGAGCTGGATACCGACCTGGAGAGCGGTCTGACCACCAAAGGTAACATAGATGGCGTCGGGGCGCTCGTACTTGATGACCTTGCGGACGAATTCGGCGTTGACAGGGAGGAAGTACACCTTGTCGGCGAGACCCTTGGAGGTCTGAATGGTGGCAATGTTGGGGTTGATGAGCACCGTGTAGATGCCTTCCTCCTTCAGAGCCTTGATGGCCTGACTACCGGAGTAATCGAACTCGCCGGCCTGGCCGATGCTCAGGCCACCACTGCCCAGGACAAGGACCTTCTTGACCGAGACACGGGGGTGGAGGCGCTCGTTCTCCTCAATGGTGCCACCGGGGAAGCTAACTGGCTTCTGGAGGAGCGTAGGGTCCTCGGCGCAATCAGAGACGGTGTTGATGAACACGTCGAAGAGGAATTCGGTGTCCCTGGGACCGGGTGTGCTCTCGGGGTGGAATTGCACACTGAAGTAGGGCTTGTCGGTGTGCCGAATTCCTTCATTGCTGCCATCATTGGCGTTGACGAAGAGCTCCTCCCAGCCCTGGGGAAGGCTGGAAGCATCCAGCTCGAACCCGTGATTTTGTGAGGTGATGTGGCACTTTCCGGTCACCATACTCGTGCAGGGGATGTTGTGGCCTCGATTTCCGAACTTCATCTTCTTCGTCTTGGCTCCGGCAGCTCTGCCGAGGAGCTGGTGTCCCAAGCAAATACCAAACACTGGGGTCTTGTTCTTCTCCATCGCGGTCGCGATGTTCTTGGCGGTGGCGTCGACAACGGAAGGGTCACCGGGACCGTTGGAGATGAAGAGACCATCGTACTGGTCGCCGGCCTCCTTGACGATGTCGTGGTCCCAGGGGACCACGAGGACCTCAACACCGCGCTTGAGGAAGCATCTGAGCTGGTTGTACTTCATACCCACATCGACACACAAGACCCGAAGGGTTCGGCCGGAGGGGTGCTTGCGAGCAATGGACGGCGAGGGCTTGTATAGCTTCGGCTCCTTGACGGAAACTTCAATTGATGTCAGTGTATGTTCAGCTGCCGAATCGGAGCTCTTGGGACCTTGGCTTACCTTGAGCGACAAGATTCTTCTCGTTGGGGTTGCTCCACTCCACCGTCTCGAAGCTATCGAGAGAGGTGTGAGCATGAACAAGGCCATTCTCAGCACCGTTGGTCAAGCTCTGCTTCGCAAGGCGCATCTTGCCAAGCATGCTACCTTGTTCTCGGAGCTTCTTTGTGAGTGCTCGGGTGTCGACGCCGTACATGGCGGGGATGCCCTGCTCCTTGAGCCATGTGCCCAGCGACGAAGCGGCAAGGAAATGAGAGTAGTCTTCGCCGCAATACGAGGCTGTGACCAGACCAGCAATGTGGATCCGGGAGGACTCGAAGTGAGCTGGCAGGTCGCCCAACAGCGAGTCAAACATCTCCCTAGAGGGAACACCGTAATTGCCCACTAAGGGGAACGTGATGACGAGAATCTGACCCTCGTAGGAGGGATCAGTAATCGACTCTGTGTATCCGACCATGCCCGTCTGGAAGACCAGCTCTCCAGCGATGCTCTTCTGGGCACCGAAGCTGTAGCCCTGGTAGGTTGAGCCATCCTGGAGCTCGAGGCAAACGAGGCCGTTGTCCTCGACGAGACGGGCCGAGGACGGCGGGGCAAGCTGAACTGCCATGCTGACTTATTGCCTGGGGGTAGGGAGAGAGAAAAGAAAGGTTTGTCCGTGGGGAGAATGGACGAAGAGTTGGGCGTAGATGAGACAGGCGGCGCGGGGCAGATCAACAAGCTCTCTGATGACGAAGAGGCGCGGGGTGCTCAATCGGTCTGGCAAGCGAGGGACTCGTATCTCAGAGTGCTCCCTTGGGACTGATCCAGAGGCTACTTCGCAATCATCTGCCGCGACAACTAACAATTGAGAGTTGTCTAGAGCACGCGAGCAGTTTGGATATGAAAGAGGAGGGAGAGAAGAGGCGGAGGAGGAAAAGTAAAAAAAAAAAAAGTAGAGGTCTAGCGGAATGGGGCCGAATCGGTACAGCAGCACCACCAAAAACTTTTTTTCTCACCTTGACTACGACCTAAGGTGCCGCCAGCATCCACCACCACCGGCAACTTAGTTGATCATATTAGTGCATGATAGCACCTGGGAGGGAATTAGGAGCCGTCTATTGGTCAATGGCGTGGCAACAGGCCTCAAAAGGCTCTTAGAGACCCCCTGGCGAGCATCAGGCGTCCAATCCGAGGGGCCCCTCTAGGTGACCTACAGCAGCCGCTCCACTGGCCCACCGTCGCTTCTAGCCAGATGCAGACGCCGGTCACCGACCTCGCACCAGAGCTCCAGCACCGGCTGCGAGCATCGTTGTGTTTTTCCTTTCTCGAGAGCGAGATTTATTTTTGCGCCCAGCTCCCTTCCACAGATGAACCCAGGGGTAACATTCCTGTCTGATTGCGACCAAACGCTCCGGGGCGGATGTGGAGAGAACGGTGTCAGGTACAGGGAATTCGGCTCGTATGTCCAGGATGATGATGTCAGCTCGATCTGCCCCTCCAGAAGAAAGGCGGTGGCTCCTAGTTAAGCCGGTTTCTGCAAACTGTTGAGATGGAGCCGACCCAGCACGTGAAGGCGAACTGTAACAAGCCTTCGGCAAGGGTTTGACGGCGACTCTACTGCACAGCTTGAATTGTTGGGAAGGGGAAGAGAGGCTGGAGAAATATGACAGCAACAGCGTAGCACATTGGACCCTGAGCCCCAGTAAAAGTAGCTCGTATGCATGCAAGTAAGGTACAGACATGACCGGGACGCGATGCGACACACTGTGTCTCACTATCTGGTGCGGCTAAAGGCGGAAAAGTTGCATGCATATGAGACAAGCTTGGGGATACCAGATAGTCCTGCAACCATCGCCCGATCTGAACGTCTTAACAAGAGCTATATACCTTAGGTAGGTACCCCATGTCGAATCAAGGTCACCAGAGCAATCAAGATTGGGCGCCTCGCTGAAGAAACCATACAAAAGGGTTAAGTAGCTAATTTGAGAAATGAGATCTCGCATTGTAGGGCTTCTCGTAATGAAAGCATCGTCTTACCAGTGACACAGTAAGATAACAGGTAAAATTGAAGGATGGGAACGAATTCGGACAATGTTTTCGCTTCAGTCTCATCACCTGCCAGCGCCCGAAATTTTGTGTGTGCCGACCGAGTGGGGCAACCGCCGGGCTCAGGCTCCGGCCATCTCCCGGACTGCCGGGCCTTGCTTCTTCATTGTTCGGGCTGTGGCTGACACCCTACAGGCGGGCAAACAACAGGCAAAACAGTTAATATTCAGAGCTCATCTATATCACTTATGGCGTACTTGGTAAATCTCATTGCGATGGGCCAGTAACGGTCATCAGCATCAACTGTGTTACTGTAGACCATGAGGATAGCAATGTCAAAACATGCACATCCAACAGAAAAAAGCACAGTGACATAAACAATACTTTGGGCCATTAGTTCATTATTATTTATGTCCTATTGGGAAAAAAAAAGAACGTTTTTGACTCACACGTAAGACTGAGCGCCTGGCGTTTTAGTATATCGGTCCAGCCTGTTGGATCTCGACCAACCTATTGACGTGAGGGCAGGTACGTCCTTTAAAGTTATCTGGGCGTGTAATTGTCGGTTGATCCCTTTGGCGATGACAACTCTCTCTTGCGAATGGTAGAGATGGCGAAACCGAGGTAGGTAGTAATCGGACGCGTGGCGATACGTGTACCGGAGCTAGTTGCCGAGCTCAACCAGTAATACATAACCATGAGCCAACCCAGCCATGCGCTGAGCCTGCGACCATCAAAAAGCATTCATTCACATGAATGGCCAGCTTCAAGAAGGCGGCCGCAGCCTGGAAGCGGTATGACTCTTACTATCCCCGCCAGTCCCCAAAAGTTGGCAGAGGCGACGGGCAAAACCCGTAAAACGGAGTCCGAGTGCAAATGCCGAGCCAGCCCCAGGCAGCCGAGCGTTGACGTACGGATAGTGTCTTTAGTTATTCGCCATGTTATGGTGTGCCACACTTTATTTTCTATAGAACTATGGATCGTGGATCTGATTCTCTGAATCAGTGAGTCTGACAAGGCGGTCCATCTGCGTAACACAGTGGGCTGGAACGCTGTGGACAAGCTTAGACAAGTGGATGCGACTGGGTGTGGCGTCTAAACGCGTGGCGGATTCGCACTTCCATTTCCTCTGCTACTGATTGATTAAAAACTCTCCAATCACTTTTCATCTAGCTCGGTGCCTCCAACCCCCGAGGCAAGCTATTGGTGCGGTGGCCAGGCAGCATCACCCTCGGTCATTTGACAATCCCGACGAGCGATCGGCTTGACGCCAGGAACCAGAATGGTCTCTGTCCTTGGAACAATAGCCCGGTGGCAACGGTTCGCGCGATCGCCCAAGCCCGGGTTAGATGCGGAGTTGTCGTCGCCAGCACCTCTCTGCCTTGGGGCTGGATGTTGACGCGGCGGAATTGCCTGAAGCTTGTACACCACTACACCAGTGCTACCGCACCACACCACCCATGAATGACATGATGTATGTAGACACACGCAATACGTACGTACTTTGATAATGCCCGAGTGCAGCGAATAAATACCCGTCGCTCCTCCCTCTTCCAGATTCTGTTTCTTCACCAACCTCTCAACGCTCATCTCTCATCCTCACATTCTCTCACATCTCCCGATATTGGCAAGTATACCTCACCAATAACTACCACTCCCTACCACCCACCATGGCTGCCAACCAGCGGCATCCCTTTTCGCAGTTCTGGGACTTCCTCCAGTCCCTGGACCCCAACCAGAGATCTCACGGTGAAGGCGTCGACCGCCACCCACCTCCCTTCCCACCCGGCTTCCCCTTCGGAGGCCCTCACCACCACCCCGGGCCTCATGCATCATGGGCCGGCCCCGGCGCCGACTTCGAGCAATGGGGTCCATGGGGCCGTCCCGGTCACTGGGACCATTGGGGTCACCATGAACATGACCGTGATCACCCTTTCAGATCTCCCCATGATCACCGGGAGCCTCGACAGCAGACTCCCCCCACCCCTACTGAAGACGGGGCGACACAAAGAAACGCCAATGACGAGAAGCACCCCTCACCTGATACCGTGATGGACGACGAGAGTGCCACAGCTGCACCCGACCCAGAGGAAGTCGCCCCCGAGGACTCTGACGACTACGGCCGCTCTGGTCCCTGCCCACGATGGGGCCGCCATGGCGCCCGTCCCTGCGGTCGAGGAGGCAGAGAAGGACGAGGAGGCCGTGGCCACCGCGGCGGTCGTGGAGGACCACACCGAGGCCCTCCTCCTCCTCACCATCACCACCCCTTCTCACGACCTCCTCACCACGGCTTCCCATTCGCACCACCACCTCCTCCCCCCTACCGAGGAGGTCCTCACCACCCGCCTCCACCCCCTCCCTTTGACTTCTCCGCCATGTTCCAGTCCCTCGGCAACTTAGGAAGCCACCCCTTCGTCGAGAACCTCCGCGAGCAAGTCCAGAACTTCCGCGACGCCCAACAGCAGCAGGGCAATGCCCGCTCCGGCGACAACAACGCCACCAACGACGACCCAGAAGACGAGTCCTTCTCCCCACCTATTGACATCTTCAACACCCCATCCGCCTACGTCCTCCACGCCGCTCTCCCGGGAGCCAAAAAGGAGGACGTCGGCGTAAACTGGGACCCGGACACCTCCACCCTCTCCATTGCCGGCGTCGTCTACCGCCCCGGCGACGAGACGTTCCTCCAGACCCTCACCCCCTCGTCCGAGCGACGCGTCGGCGCCTTCGAGCGCACCGTCACCCTGCCCCCCGCGGGTTGCGAGAAGGACGGCGAGGTCGATGGCCTCAGCATCACCGCTAAAATGGAGGACGGTTTACTCGTCGTCACCGTCCCGAAGGTCGAGAAGGAGTGGACCGAGATCCACAAGGTCGACATTGAATAGATGAAGGTGGCGTTTCCTTTACCATGTACGAGTTTACGGGACTAAAGGTGTACTGGATCGTTGTGTTTGCTTGATATTTGTTCTGTTTGACGACTCCTATGTCATACAAGAAAAACTATACATCTCAAAAAAAATCGAAAAGTCTAGATAAAAACCATAGAAAAAAATTGAATACGGTCTATGAAATCAAAATCTGTTCCAAACGTTGCCATGTGATAATATGATGTGATTGACTAAATGTATCTTAATCTAACAATTTCTCCGATTCTCGTTGAGTCATGCTCTCGGGACAAATGAATAGCCAAAATGAACAGGAAAAGTGCTGCTGCTCCTTGTGCTGATAATGGTGGGGGGTATATGTAGATCGTGTGCAAGACTATATATGTGCATATGTATATATGCTTCTGCTGCTTTGCCTTCCTGGTAAAATAAGTATATATGGATACAAGGGCAGCCAAAAGGTGGTGTATCTAGAAGAGAAGAAAACTCTCCAGCCTCAGGCAGGAGGCCCAGATTAGAACAGAAGACGGGAAAACTAATAAGCCAGAACAAAGAAAATAAGAGTGTTACAAAGTAGTAAGAGTATCCAAAGCAGAAGAAAAGTCGGTTTAAGAAGTGAAGTCAAAAATCAAACTCCACATATGCCGCATAAAAATCATAATTGTTGTAATGGGGGTTGTCTGTCCTCTTCGTGTTCTCGTATAGAAAGAAAGGGGTATCAATGCAATTCTTGTGTGATCTCCTCTCGGACATGTCGGCACCACTGGAGAATGGCGCGCTCAAAGCTTTGCCACGCTTCCGGGCCGCTATTAGTCACGACACCCATGACATCCATTGAGATGTTGATTTCGAAACGAAGCTCGGCGGCTTTGAGCCAGTAACGGAGATTGTCAGCACACCGATACGGCTTCTGTGTGTCGGTGTGGAAGGATGGGATGGCACCGTAACGCCGCCAGGACTTCTTCACAATCGCATTGTGCAATTTGATCAATCTCACACCGTTCTGCATGGCTTGGAGAAAGGGTGTGGGAGGGTCCTGGGCATCAGAAATCGACGTCCATTCTGGGAGAGGGTCGGATTCAGTGTCCATGGATGTGAGGAACGCCCGCTCACGCTCAAGTTCGCGCCCGGTCCAGTCGCCTTGTAACCAGGTCCAACTGGCTCGCTCCGCGTTCTCAGCGGCCTCAATGTCATGCTCCTGCTTGAGAATGTCGAACACACTATCGATCCAATTATCAATGGTGGTGACCTCTTCATCCTTCAACCCGTCTTTGAAATTCCGGGTAGCCATTTGCTTCAACACATCCATAACCGCCAGGAGGTCGGTGCGAATCTCCTTCTCTGACTTGATGGCATCCAGTCGATCCGGCAATTCGTGGGCTGTGTAGTATAGTTTTGCGGCCCGAATGGCGAGCGTGACGACATCCAAGACCTGCATTCCCTGGAGTTCATACCACGGCTGGGTGTTTTCGTCTGGCATGTTGGGGTATGCTGGTGCGTCGGACGCCGGCTGAAAGGTGCCCGCCTTGCGGTCACTAACTTCCTTCAAGAACTTCTTTGCATCATTCAACGAAGTTTGCACATCGGCCTTGAGCTCCTCAATGGATGGCGGCTTCGGAACAACCTTCTCCTTGTATTGGTATGTGCTGACAGTCGGCGGAAGCATGCCATCAGCCTCAAAGTCCAAGTCCGAGTCCCCAAAGCTCCCATCGTAGGCTTCGTCCATGTCGTACTGTAAAGACTCGTCCATACCAAACGACATATCGGCGGGCGCATTCAGATCAGGGCTGCTGCCCATCGAGGCGTACGAGGAATCAGCATCGGTTCCCGCAATCTGCGGGTTCGACGCAGCCGACTCGAGTGCCGAAAGGTCGAGTATTGCCGGTTGTTTCTGTCTCTTGCGCGCGAGTTGTCCTCCCTTCCCATCGAGCAGCCCGGTACGGGCAAAGTAGTACTGCAAGTGAGCAATACTTCCCAGGCTCATCACACTCTCGCGTGACTTGGCACTGGCGGCAAAAGATGTCGCATGTGGCCGCATATAGCCTTTGCGGCGGTGCCTGACATCAGGGCCAAACGAAGAGTGTCTCGAAACACGCGAGGGATAGGTTGCAGATGATATCCGTGAACCCGGGCCAAAGTCACCCATCGACAGATGCCGTGGTGTGACATCGGAGATGCCGGACGAGGCCATGGACACACATCGTGAGAGCTCAGGGCAAGCTCCGATCGCAGGAGTCGGGGAGGTATCTGGTGAGGGAGAACCGCTCCTGGGGATATTATCGGTAGCCATGGCGGTGTTCTTTCGTGCTCTCGTGGAGTGATATATGTCGACAGCCCCGCTATATTGGTTGTGCACGACAACGGAAGCCCGCGAAGTATAATGGTCGAACAAGCCAAGGTTCTGAATCGCGCCGGGTTTTAATTAGATATGTAATCGGACAAGTGTCGTCGATACTGCGTCTCGGTATAAGATGCTGCAGTCTGGTGTTGGGGGCGTTGGTGAGGAACGGACGACGAGGCAGGCTGGTATCTAGAGCTTGTGCATGGGATTGGTTTTATCCCTGGGGATTATAACCAAGATAGAAACGAGGGTAAACAATTGAAAGCACGGAACCAAACAAGACACGGCGAGACAGGACAAGCCCACCCAAACGGGAAAGACGATGAAGTACTCCTGAGTAAAGCAAGACAGTGGGGGGACGGGTGGATTGGCTGCTCAAGCACGAAACAGAGGCGAAAAGCGCAGATTACCCAGGATTGATTGGACTGCGTGCAGCGTGCGTGCAGCATCCAGGGGTTTGGGGTAAATGCTCTCAGTCGTGAGGATCCATTGGACGATGTGCAATGCTGATGGAGACTGCTAGTGGCGGTGACAGCCATTGAGGAATAAGCCGCTGGCCTGCCGCCTGTAGGCAAGAATGAAGGGACGGGATCGATGCGCTAAACACGCGAGGGCAGCCGCTAACCAGACTGTCGGTTGCCCCAGGAGCCGCCGAGGCAGGCACCGACAGGCCCTACATGCCCTACAGAGATGGCAGCACGCCCACTGTTCGTCCCAGGTTGGCGCTACTACCAGCGCGCCACTTGCGTACCTCAGCGCACTCACTGTAATTTCCAGCCCGTAGCACCAGGTAACCAAATCAAACAAAACAAAAGCCCACTCAGGATCACGCAACCCCAGCTCTGGTCCGTGAATGCATGCCAAACAATTGCGCCGCCTATCCACAGCCAAAGGCCAGCAGCTAGGATAGCTAGGATGAAAATAGATGGGTGGAATCAGCATTGAACGATCACGACAACACCTTCCCACCTCCTTGTTCATGAAGGACCTTGGCTCTATCTAGCTGGTAGTATTGCGGGGAACAGCCACACGATGCAACCACTCCATCCATCTCAAGGCTAAATATAGCAGACCGAAGGAGTGGTTCACCGGGCGCATCCAAATATGCTCTATGTCTTGAAGCTGGGCAGAGCAGAGAGGCGCTGACACTGATCGGAGATGCCTTCTCAAAGTTCAGATTCCGCACCGACTTGGATGGACGGGCCGAACACTACACACTTACACAATATACTGTTCGGCTCTCACCCGGGCAACCTCTCGACTCCTCGCCTAGTGAAACGAAAGAGCATTGACTCATGGAATAGAATTCCTGGAGCTGCCAGATACCTCATCTACTGGACCCTTGCCGCAATGTTTCGAGCAAACAATCCAATCTCCGATACAGAAATGGACAGTACCCGGCCGAGGGGATCGAGATATCTGCTCCGAACACGATAGCAGGACGACATGCTCTCAAGGCCTTCAATACCAGATCCTGCTACGACACTGGAAGTATCTGTTCTTGGATTGGCCTAAAACAGCTGACAGCAATTACTAGGTATTAGACCAGCGACATCAAAGGCCCTTGGTTCAATGTTATGCTGTCGCCCATTTCACTTCTTTCCTGGCATTTTCCTCGTGCCTTGCTTGCCCCCAGGCAACAAGACCTTCTTGCCACGAGGCTAAATATTGCTCACTGATCCTCGGTGACCATGAGCTAGCCGTTCATGAGCTCAGCCTCGTCCGTCGGACAAGCAACGGGACTGGGGTCACTCGCCATGACCCGGGCGACTCGGAAGACCAGTGCTGCCGGCTGTGGAGGCAATGACGGAGGGCAGAAAAAGAAAAGAAGTCCCGAGGAAAAAGAAAGGAAAAAAGCATGGGAAGCGAGGAGACCAGGGCCCTTGGTGCCAGTTGTTAGCTCCCCAAGCTCCCTTACCTGATCCGCCAAACCCCGGCCAGCTAAACGCAAATCATCTTGTCAAAGCGGCAGCGAACCAAGCAAGATTCCGATGATGCGCGCGCACGATGCACTCTTAATTGTTGGGCATGAAGAGGGCTGGGAGAGCGGGTGATGCCGCGCAGTTCGGCAGCAACGGGCGTGGCAGCGGCAGCGGCACTGGCGGCAGGCAACTCTTCTAGAACACGGCACTCCGATTAGCACTGCTGACACCTGACCAAGGCTGCAGATACGATCATATCTTATTACTTCCCCGGTACCCTTTCACCATCTAATTAGCAGGCATATGATTATAATTGCCATGGCGAGAAAGGGGGTCCCTCCCGTTGGAAAGTGGAGCTACAGAAGACCCTTGTGACTCGACCGGTGGGTATCTGTAATTACACAGTGCACTACCAAGAAGTTCCAAGCTGAGCAAGCCTGATTAAAGTGAGATGATGGTGGGTGCTAAGGAGGGGGAGGGCGAGCGAGGGGAGAGAAGAGGGGAGACGAGGACGGAGGGCCCTCGCGTGGACGTGGTTGTTTTCCTGCTCGGATGCATGATGAGATGACCATCGCGACTTGCAAGGAAAACGCGACAAAGCCAGATGCACGTCCCTCTTGAATTGCCTAATGGGGCAAGCTGGAGTCGCAGAGCATTCGCGTGTGCGTGGAGAGAAGAGCACCATGACTGCAGAGCCCATCCATGCTCCCTGCCCAGCACTACGTAGCATGTATCTCCAGTCCGTACGCCAACCACCCAAGGAGGCACGGAATCTTTGGACTCCAGCCAGTGAGCCCCTGCTGGCTTCATACCAGAGGTTCCGCCGATAGGGTCAAAGTAATAGCGTCCTGGGTAACGTTGTGATAGCCCGGTTCCGGGGGTTATTCCAGTTATTTAGCGCCAAAGGCACGCTACGCAGTAGGTGCCAGTTGCTTGGGAAGTATTACTCGTACTAACTCGTCCCCACCCAGCTTGTAAGTCGACGGTAGTCAATTTCGTTGGCGAGAGCTTCTGAGTTGCTCCTCATTTCTCGCTGCTCCCCATCGGCTAGGCGCAGACCAAATCAAAGACGGACCGGGTTGATCGGTGGATGGCGACAGCGTGGAGTGGTGGTACCAGTCAATCATTCGCTGCACGACACAGCTGGAGATGGTGGGTGGTACCTACCCAATCTATTACCTAGACTATTCGCCTCGCCTCCTCTGGTTCTTGAATGAAAAAGTAATCCCCAACCTCCCGGGCCTCGTGTGCGTGTGTGTCGTTCAGGTTTGTGTCTTGTCTGCCAGAACGTGTTCAAGACTAGTCTCTATTCACGTTGCTTCCCGCTGACATGAAACCTGACTGTCGACCGATATACTGAAACTTATCCCCTTGGGCTCCATCCACACATGTCTCGAAATCCTCCGCCACTCACTTAATCACACTCACTTACGCTGATTTCTTTTCTATTCTTGTCTTCCGCCTCATAACCATTCTTTCATCTTTCCTATCCTTCTGCTTCTCGACATCTCTGGCTCTATTCCCAACGGCAGACTAAACCACGCAACGAGCCGCCCTTCCCGTGTCAGTCTTCGTGATGTAGCAGCCCAACGACTACTTTGGGCCCTCCGCTACTACCACCCAAGAGCTGGCTGGCCATCGGGCTGTCAGCCTACCCGTTTTCCTTCTATTTTCTTGGGTTACTTTTACTATTGTTGGATTTGCCACACTTCACTTTGTCGATCGAGTGGAGCAGCATAGCATTTTTGTGAACTTGGCAGCCAGGTCGCATAAACAGCCTGGCGTTTATCAGTCGAGCAGAACAGCAGCCGACCCGGACAGCCTGGCTTGTTGATCTCTCGCGGCGTCTTCTTGGTATCCTGCCCGGCTGTCAGGCTGGTTTTGGCGGGAGCAGCGACGCATAAACCTCGCTGCATGGTCTATAACGCCGATTGACGTCGCGCGCATTGCTTCTTCCATCAGCCGGTGGCTTGGTCCAGACACGCACACGCACACACTTATCCTCCCGGCCTCCATCTTTTCTCTTCCCTTTATCTTCTTACCCTCCAGCACCTCTGTTCTTCGCTGCGCTTCTTACCTCGTCACCTTCTCTACTCGGCCATCTTCGCAGCATCTCTTTATCCGCTGCCGCTCGCCGTCGACTCCTTCGCAAGTCCTTGGTCATTTCCGACCCGGTTTTTGGAGGGGGTCTATTTTCTTGAAACACCAACCAGCTCCCTCCAAGGACGCAGCCAGCCTCTGCTGGGGTCCCACCCTCCCTCTCGTCCCCTATCCCTATCCTCGAGCAGCTCCAATGGCCTCCGTTGCGCTGCCGCAGCACTGGGACAGGGCACCCGACACCACTGACAGCGGCTTCATCCCCAGCACCACCGCTGCTAGCACCGAGGCTGCCTCTACGGCTGCTGATCCCACTGGAGCCCTGCACAAAAACACTACTGCAGCTGCCAGCGTGTCGCTCCACTTGTCACCACCAGTAGCCGGACACCTCCTCCACCCGCTCCCGCGTTATCAGGCCCAATCCCAGTCCCCGACTGAAGACACGCATGATGAGCCAGCCAATTTCTTGAATTTCTCTGATGTTGCCAGTGAGCTCTCGCACCTCCCCTTCGCTGCACCAGCCTCCTCATCGACGACCTCGACGTCCTCGGCCTCCTCGACAACGTCCACAACCACAACATCGACGGCACACCCATCGCCCCCTTCTGCGCCCTCCACCCTTATTAGTGACGCATTCAACCTAGCTTCGTCCCGTCTAGCACCACGAAAGCATCGCCAGCAAAACCCACAGCCATCCACTCCCGCAACCGCTGCCACACCCACAGCCACAGTCCTCAGAACCTCCCCCGGCCTAGCTGCTCGACTCAAAGCACTCGGGTTCGGAGCCTCCAGCAGCACCGCACAGCCAGCCACAGCACCTACTGAGCCCAACCACATCGGCCGGCTGAACGAGGAACAATTACGCGAGCTCGACGAGAAGCATCAACTCAACTCGTTGGAATCAATCATCGTACGGCGCGGTCGCCCGTGGAAGGGCATCGGCCCCACCGCGTCTCCTAAACAGCTGCCTGCTCAGCTCGACGTCGACGAGTTGGGTCCTCAGCTCCCTGAGACTATTCTACCAAACGACCTCGTGCTTGATGTTATGGATACGCAAAAGTACCGTCTGCCCGACCACACAAATGGCAACAATACCAAAGCCGACCCGGATACGCTCCGTGAACACATCGCCCGCGACTCAATCTCCCTGGCAGAGATTGTTGACAACGTAACGCCTCCGCCTCCGCCCCCGAAAGACACGCCTCCCGCCAGCGCGGTCCTGAACGATGACGGCCCAAACCTGGACTCGTACTTCTCCCCGGTTCACAGCCGTCCCATGTCAATATATACCCTCTCCCGCGTCTCCTTCGCCAACCAGCTGTCCCAGTTGACGTCCTTGCAGCTCCCAGATGCCGAATCCCTCTCGAGCAAAGTCTCAGCTATCCCCACCGCGCAGGCCGCCTCGACAGCTCTCATCAATGCCGCCGAGCAGATTCGAAGCTGGATTAGCAAGGCCTCCGAGGTCATCGGAGGTCTCGATAGCGAGGACGATGTAGAGTGGTCTGCCGCAGGTGGCCGGGAGGGGCTCGCAGAAGTCGAAAATGCCATTTTGCGATTCGAGGAGTTGATCAATGTTTACGTGGGAGCCATTGAAGAGTTGCAAGCACGACCCGACATTGCCAGTGTTTCGACCGATGACTTGAACAAGGCTGTTCACCAGATGGAAAGCATCATGACTGAATGGACCAAGATTCGAAACACTCTGCAAAATGTCCGCGGCCAGGTCGAAATTGCCATGGAATGGGAAGAACTCTGGAACAACGTCCTGGGCGATATTCAGGGTGAGATGGATGAGTTGAGCCGTCTGGTCTTTGAGATGGAGGAACGTCGCCACAAAAGCATTGCTGCCGCTGCTGGCGGCGATGGGGTTGATATCGGGGACCTTGAGACCATTGTAGAGGACAATCGCCCGCCTGTTGCTCGCCTACAGGCTCCGAGCCGTGTCAGTTTCCCCGGCTTCCCAATAACGCCCAGCTCCCCCGAGACCCCAGCCCTATCTCAGGATGATTCAAGTCTGCTCGCCCTATTCGCACGAATGCAGCCTCTAAGAGCCTCGTTGGACTTTCTCCCGATGCGCCTGTCAGTGTTCCAGGCAAGGGCCGACTACTCATTCCCCACCGCCTGTGATGAATTGGAAATGCGCCGCACCGGGCTTGATGCAAGCTACAAGAAGCTGGAGAGGGATGCGGAGTCTTTGCGAAAGGAACTTGGAGAGGATCGCTGGGTAATAGTATTTCGCGGCGTCGGCAGACAGGCTCAGAAGATGCACGAGTCTGTTGAACGTTCCCTCATCAAGCTCCAGGAATCCATTGATGCAGGCCTGCATCTATCTAACCCTCCCGCCATGGTCAAGAAACTGGAAAGCTATGAAGCCAAGAAGACACACTATGGTCCGGCTATCGAACGAGTACTATCCATCATAGACAAGGGGGTCAAGGACCGCCTGACTGTCAATGGAGAGATTGTGCGATTACGGACCGATTTGGAGTCCAAATGGACCAGCCTTAAGGATCAAATGGTCGATATGGATGCAACCATAGACACGCTGCACGTCGATAGGAAGGGCCAACACCTCAGAGACTCCATCTCCAGCATGGTCTCCAACGACAGATCTACCACAGCTGGAAGCGGCCATGAGACTCCTGGAAGCTCACCACCCTCGTCCATCGTAATGTCCAGCCTGGGCATTGAGCCTTATGGTTCAGCAAAACAGCGCAAAACTCGCCCTGCCAACTTGCAGACTCGCACCCCGCCTTCGTACCGGAGACAGTCGTCAGTCCCTTCTTCCATCAACTCGGGCCGCAGGCTTACTCCTTCTCGCCTCCCCACCACAATCGGCTCGTCGACAACCACCCCGACGCACGCGCGAGGTACCCCACGATCCGTATCAAGCCTGGACCACAGGCCACGCTGGAATACGTCTACCAACGCATCTGGCATTGATACTGGCCACAACTTCAAGCCTTTGTCTCTCACGACCCCGAGCCCATACTCGAAGCTGACTCCCCTATCGTCACAGAGGTCTGTCTCTTCCTTGACGCCAGGCTCGGCCACATCCAAACTTCCCAAGCTTCGCACCCCTCTTACCAGAGCCACTTCCGAGTCTCCCAAAGTGGGCGACACACAAATTCGAGCAGGCCCTTCCCGCTTGTCTTTCCGTGAACGCCTTGCGTCCTCAGCTGCGAATGCTGGACAGCAACCATCACCAGCGACGACACCTGCAACGACAACAGTGCCCGCAATAGCAAGGCCTCGCCCTCAGGGAAGCTCCTTAACAGCATCCACTGAGGCATCAATGAGACGAGCTTCCTTTCACCCTCAAAGGTCCGTCTCCGTGGTTGGGGCTCACGAACAGCTCAACCGCCCTGCTAGCTCTCTTGCCTCAAACGGCAGGAGAAGTAGTCTTATGCTACAGCCAAAAGAAAGACGAGACTCGAGCACCGGGCGATCGACTCCCTCGGTCTCACGACTCTCAATCCGCAAGAAGCAGGAGCCAGCCGACAATAGGCCAAGGTGGCGCTAGTACCTTTCTACGGCTGTGGAAGAGCCTTCTTTACCCTTCTTTCCCCTGATCTGCCATGAACTTCTGTATTTCGCCAAGTAGCGAGATTGAATTTGATGCTGGCCGATTTAGACTGTTATTATTTCTGTATTTGCTCTTTCAGCCCTTGGATTTTTGGTTTTTTGAAGTTTTATAGCATGGCGTCAGGGTGAAAGAGACACCGGTTCACTTACTCAGATGATGGAGTTCAGGGAAATATGACATAACTCTTTTAATTCAACCCGGATTTTTTGGGCGCATTTCATGTGGACGGACTATTGTATTTGATTTTCCGTCCCCCTCTTTCTTGTAAGACAATTTAACCAGGCGGCATTTTAAGTTCGTGTGGATGTATGAGGACACGGTTGGCTTTTGTGGGAGGCATTTCTGTCCATAAGTCATATGTCTTAAGTTTTTGTATCCGTTATCTCGTAAAAAGAGTTTGACCACGTTCTCATCTAGTGGGACAAGGGCTGAAAAGTAAAATTAATTTTTGAACCATCCTTATTGTTGCACTAGAATGACATCTTAATATGGGAAGCAATTGTTCATCTTATTTCGTGACTCTCTCGAGAGATTCTCTTTTCTTAACTGATGGCTGCCCAGCTAACTGACCCCCCATTTCATCAACAGCCTTCCTTTCCTTGACGCCAGAATGATGTGCAATAAAACAATATGTCTTCGCTTCGTCAGTGCCCTATGCACGTTGTATGTATATGTATGGTATCGTCGTCCGATGATCTAATGCTCAGGTTCCAAAACAAGGGGGGCAGGGAAACAAAACAAAAATAACAGATAAATGAGGACGGCGAGAAAATTAGATTTCGCCTCGCCCGTTGTTCCCCAAGTCACAAACTCCGATGACTCCTCTTGAGTAATTTGGGGGAAAGAGGAAAAGAAAACAGCCAGCCCCCCTTCCCATTGTTCATATCGGCATCAGCCCAATCCCCCCACCGCTCCTCTTCACAATCTTCCTATCAGGTTTCGAGGCTCCCGAAGGAGCGGATGCTCCCGCCGCGCCTGAAGATGCGCTCGCTTTCCTTGCACCGGTCGAAGCACCTCTGCGTTTTGAGCCCTGCGAGCCTCTCCTGGGGCCCTTCTTTGACCAACTCCTACCGCCACTGCCGCCAGCCCTAGCTCCGCGACCACCCCTCGCACCGCCCCTGGTGCCGCCGCGTGATCCTCTGGAGCTGCTAGATTGCTGCCCAGTGACCTGGAGCCTCTCGTTGAAGGCTTGGACCTCGGGCCGCGCGCTGTTGGCAAAGTAATGCGAATCTTCCTCGTCCTCCTCGTCTTCTTCTACTCCGTCCCCGTCGTCTTGCTCAGACTCCGAGCTGACCAAGTCTACTATATCCTGGTCCTCCCGGGTCGATGATGAAGATGCGCCTCCAGTGGCGCCCGTGATTTCCCTGTACATGACATGATAGCGAGCCAGGATTTTGAGAATATTAGGCCCGTACTCGCTGACTTTGGCCAAATCAATGCCTGTTATACGGCCCATCTTCTCTATGGAGGTGGTCCAGTGGGTTGCCATGGCCATGAACTCTCGTTGGGAAAACAGGGGCCGGCGAAGCTCCTTCTTATTTCGAATCCGCTCCTCGAGTGCCTGCGCTTCTTGCACAAAATTGCCAATCAGATCATGGTGCACCTCATCAATATCCTCAGCTGGCGTATCAATGGGGATAGGAGGCCCTGCCTTGCGCCGGGGAGTCACGACAGGAGGCCGAGCTGGCTGAGGCGGGCGGGCTGGTCGGTGTCTAGGTAATGGCGCAAAAGCCTCTTCCTCGTCGGCTTCAATGTCATCATCAGATACGACGAACCCATCGTTCGCATACCCTGATGCTGTCTGGTTCAGCTCTGCCTCGTCATCGCTGTCTACAATTCTCCCGCGAGGTCTCCGCCTCCCAATAGGAGAGGAGACATATGTGGAGAGGATAGGTTGCGACTCAGGCTCGTTGTTTGCTGCCTTTTTGGTGGCCTTCTTTTTGACTGCTTGTTTTTGATTCGATACTTGAATCGAAAGCATCAGTCGGCGCTGACCAGCCAGAAATGCCCTTGCTGTTGGTCCGATGCGGAGGTACTGGATCGCTATGCCATACCTACTGACTTGGTTCGACTCCGAGAAGGCCTTCTCCGCTGACAACTTGTCAATCACTCGCACTACCTCATGCTTCTTCATGCCCTTGGCCACGCCGTGCCATTCACCCGACTTTCTTTCCTCGTTGCTTGGATAAGCCTTGCCCAGTAAAATGTCTGCACACTGATTCGGCGTGAGTCTTTTCTGGACCTGGACAACATTAATAGCAGCCACTGCGCATTCCGAGAAGTCTTTCTGCTCGAATACCAGGGCAGCCTTGCAGTTGTCACACGACTTGTTACATTGCTCGGGGGTAAAGTCTTCCCCGAAATACCTCAACACCTCAGTGCGACGACAGTCGGCCTGGTTATCACAGAAAGCAGTAACTCTGTTCAACATCGACATCTGTCGCTCCTTTTGTTCGACACCTCCCTCTCCATCGGAGATAAGCTTCTTCAGGACTCTTATGTCCCCCTTTCCGTAGAATAGAATGCAGTCGGAAGGTTTGCCGTCTCTGCCAGCTCGTCCAGTTTCCTGGTAGTAGCCCTCCAGGCTCTTGGGAAGGCCATGGTGGACAACGAATCTGACGTCGGGCTTGTCGATACCCATACCAAAGGCTATGGTAGCCACCACAACTTTGATTTCGCCCTTTTGCCAGGCAGTCTGAACCTCGGCTTTCTCCTTCGGCTCTATTCCTGCATGGTAGTAGTCCGCGGCTATGCCATGTTCTGAGGAGAGTTTATGCGCAACCTCCTCTGCCTGTTTTCGGGAGATTGTGTACACAATCCCACTGACGTTGCGATAGTCCTTTAGGATGAGTTCCCCAATAGCATCAGTAGCAGCAGCGTTTCCCGTTTTGGGGCGAACCTCATAGGTCAGATTAGGCCTATTGAAGCTCTGAGAAAAGACCTGGCAATGTCTCAATCCTAGATTGTGCTTGATATCGACGATGACGTTCTGGGTTGCCGTCGCTGTGAGTGCCATTACAGGAACATTTGGAAACCTTCGGCGTAGCTGGCCAATGTTTTTATAGTCAGGCCTAAAATCATGGCCCCATTGGCTGACGCAGTGAGCTTCGTCAATGACGAGACGAGCAAACTTTTGTTTTCGATAGAGAGTCTCCAGGGCATCGCTGAACTGGGGACTCTTGCTAACCATCTCCGGTGTGACGTAAAGAAGCTCGACGAAATGCTCCGGCGTTCGTTCATTGAAGGCGCCCATAATCTGCCTTTTATATTGAGCAGAGCATTCACTGTTGAAAGCCACGGCCTGAATTCCCAGTGCTTTCATGTGGTCAACCTGGTCTTGCATGAGACTCAGCAGGGGAGAAATCACAATGGTGACACCGCGGGTCTTTCCACTTTTGACGACAGCTGGGAGCTGGTAGCAGAGCGACTTGCCTCCTCCGGTCGGCATCAGGACAAACGCGTCATCGCCAGCCAAGGTAGCGTTGATGGCTTCCAGCTGGTTCTGCCGGAATCCTTTCATGCGAAAGCGATCCTTGAGCATTTTCTGAACATCCGAAGACCATGGGTGCTTCATCAGCTCCGGTGGAATAGATAGTGCTGGCAAAGCCGACTTTACAGGCTTAGTTGTGGATTTTTTCGATCTAGTCGTCGGAACAGCATTGCCCGATGTATCAGAGAGAACACGTCTCGCCGGCGGCAGCTGGATCTCTGTCGATTTTCGAGTCTCATAGTCTTGTGCCAGCGCCAAAATCTCTGCATCGTCACTAAAATCGCTGAACTCGTCCCCTTCGGAGGGGGGGATCCTACCCATCTGAGTAGATCTGGAGCTCATCTGATGCGTCGGCAGTTTTGTTGATCTCCCTTGCGAGAATCCAACATCCCCAGGGCCTTGAGGGAACCCATCACCCATGCCAAAACTCCCGGTTGGTATCTGACCTGCTTTCCCGGTATTATAGTGAGACTCCGAAGAGGGTTTTGATCCTGATGGCCCCGTTTGTGACCAGCCGCCACCTGCCTGGGATAATTGCGTCCGATGAACCACATCGAAGCCAAGATCTTCAGCAGGACCAAGCCCGGAGTTCATAGCCATATTTACTGTGAATTGGGTGAGGGGTTGACTAACAGGAACAGTATCCAGATGCCCATTAGCTTGATATGACATAGCTGGGGCCTGACCGAAGTCGAGAAAACTGTTCACGTCCACCCCGCCACCAATCAAGGTTTTGAGAATAGTTTCCTCTACCTCTTGGATTTGGTCAGTGAGGGTGTCAAGGCGATTCTCGGCTTCATCGGTATCGACACCATCGGCATAAGCCTTTGTAATCTCGTCGGCGAGGGTGCCTCGTTGCTCACTAAGCTTGCTGTATGATAGTAAAATGGTGGAAGCCTCCTTGAGGGCCTCTTTTTGCTTCAACAAACGTTCTTTCTCGGCCCTGATCTCGTTGCGCTTTTCCTTTGGGGCGCGCTCCGAGACCGCTCGCATGAAACTCTGCCCATTCTGCTCTACTAGTTTCTCCACAGAAGTTGACTTGGCCGCCAAAGCTTGAGGGTTGCTGGCAAGGTGATTGAACAATATACGCTTCTGGTCAGCTGACAAAGCATCACTCCCAACTTCTTGGGTGGTAGGAGCAACACTTCCATTGCTTCTGGGTTCAGCCGAAGAATTAGAGCTACTAGAAGCATCGGAGAAGTGTAAGCGGGGCGGATCGGCTGGGAGCTCCAACTGGGGAAGAGCAGCTTCTCCATTTGCCCCAACTATGTTCTCTCCAAGATACTCCAACGAGTCGTCGGGTATTGTCTCCGACTTCCTGCGAGATACAGGGCTCATAAACTCATCATCCGAGTCGGGAATGATCATTTCAAGATCTACATCTGGTGCCTTTGTCTGCGTAGGTTCGGTAGATGTTTTCCTCTTCTTCGATGAACTAGGGTGACTC